ACCACCCAGACGCGGAATATAAATATCGAGGTGCCTCCTTAGCTTTCAGAATCATCAGCGAACGGAGAAGAGATCTTATCAATATATTCGTTATACTTTGATACCTATTATTATTGCGAGCTTTCTTGACCACTCTCCGAGAAACCTTATTGGCCCCAGTTACAATTCACTTGACTTAAGAATTGGCTGCCGCCTAACAGAACCTAGGGTTTGTCCTCGTGTTCTGCTGATTCCTTCCTTGATCTGGAGTTGGATTGGTTGGTCGTCTGCAATCCTTAATCATATGTCCCTTTATGCCACATCTTAGGCATAGATTGTTGTTTCGTCGTCGAAGGTACTCATCTCTCGAAAGGTTGAGTGAGGGTCTCCTTCTAGTTGCATCCAGGTCCATGGCATCTCCTCCTTGGGTGGTGGTTCGATAGGTTCCATTCTGGTTCCTGGGTGCACCTTGGCTTCTTGTGTTCGTATTGTTGCCTTGGCTTGTATTGGACTGGCTCTTTTGGATCCAGTCTAGTTGTCCGAACTGTATTTCTTTCCGGATGGCCCAGTGGCCCATTGCTTCGGTCGTAATAAACCTTTCTTCACTAAATCTCCATGCATCTTGATAGGTCTTTCTCAAGCCTTTCATGAACCACCTCATAGCAGAGGCCTCGTCGCAAGCCGCGTCGTACTGGAGTAGTCGGAACTCGTACCAATAATCGGTGACATTTTTCGTTCCTTGGTGGATATCTTCCAGTTTGTTCCTTGCCGATTGGCTCAGTTCTAGGTCTGTGAATTGGGCTTCAAATATTTCTTTGAAGCTGGCCCAGTCCTTCCAGGGTGCAGTGTTGCTAACCACGATGGGGGTTATCCATTTTAGTGCCTGTCCCTCTAGTAGTGTAAGGGTGTATCGTATTTTGTCTTGGTCATAGCCCAGTGTCCATCCGACGGCATCAAAGTAGGTCAAGAGTTGGACCATGAATCCTCGTAGTTTGCTTCTTTCTCCATCGTATCGTGGTGGGGTCTTAACTTTGGATTGTTGCCCGGCTCCTCTTATAGCTTCGCGTATCATCTGTTCCACTTCATTCCGTGGAATCATCTGAGGAGGTGCTGGTCCTGCCGGAGGCGGACCTGGGGGTGGTGCTGGTCCTGACATTCTTTCAGGTCTGGGCGTCTCAGGTGGGTCTTCTTCGTTTGGAGGGGTAGTTCGTTCTGGCGTCACTGGACTGGTCGTTCTTGCTGATTGTCAACTTGCTTCACTTAATGCTTCTTCCAATCCTTCTAATCCTACACTGTCGTCTTGGACGTCGATGTCTCCCTCGTGATCTCTGTTGAATGGATCCGTTGTGTAATCGTTAAGTGTCGCGTTTTGAGACACGTTCTAATGTTAAGAATCCTACCTGGGTGGGGTGCGACAGGTAACGGTTCTTAACTGGTAGCGAGGAGATAGTTCTCAGGCCTTTGCCTACGCGATATTGATAGTTAAATCCTTATGACTTCTATCTTATCGCGCCTATTCCTCTAATCTTCTTAAGTCCTCGCCTAGGACTTAATTACTCGGCGTGGGAGGAGAAATAGTTTTCTCTTGTGGGAGGAAAGACAATTCTCGGGTTTCTTAAGATAAATCTTAAAGAGCGTAAAGGTAGGTTTTATTGTAATAACTTAAAAGTAGGAAATAAACAAGAAGAACGTGTGAAGAGCTAATACTAGGGGTCTAAGTGATCCTTTATATAGTAGCTCTTCACCTGGCGTGACTCATACCTATGTGTCACGCGACCCTTGTGACTCATAACTATGAGTCATGCGAAATCCCTCAGCTGACTCCTATGAGTCGCTGCGCAACATACCTAACCAATCAAAACATAATAACTAAGTCAGGTGCGCAACTCACGTCACCTGAGTGAAACCCATGACTCATAATCTGAGTCATGTGCGAAAGTCATAACATCGTGTGACTCACAAGCGTGAGTCATGAGCAGGTAAACATAATAACCTATGGCGTACTAATGTGCGTCATGTGAAATCTCAACATACCTATAGTTCGGAATTCCGATCTATGTGAAATCTGCCTTGCCTAGTCACGGTTTGTGACAGTACACCTCTTTGTAGCTAGCGCACCTAACTGTCCAGTCTCTCTATCTTTCAAATCGAACTAGGGTGAGTGCAGACTATAGATTATACCCAGTCTTTTTGGAGGTACTAGGGTCAACTTTGTACAGGACGAGTAGGACTAGACAGACTCCCGAGGGCTGCCATCCTACTGCCTGATATCCTATGGATAAAAGGACCTCAGTCAGCCTCAATGTTTCAACCATTTCTGAGATTGCTTGGAGTACAATGTATTATCCCCTGATGTAGTAAAAGATAGAACAGATAAATAAGAGTAAGAGCCCACTTACCTAGCAGTTCCATTATGGAAATTTGTATGGTGAGCTGGAACAGTACCATCAGCTCAGGGTTGTGTTACAACTGCTGGTACTAACCATGTTTACTTAATTTTCAACCATCAAGAACTTTGGGTGCTTGTTAAGAATCCTACCAGTGTTGGGATGCGACAGGTAACGGTTCTTAACTTGTAATGAGGTAATAGTTCTTAGGCCTATGCCTACATGATCCTGATAGCTAAGTTCTTATGACTTCTATCTTATCGCACCTATTCCTCTAATCTTCTTAAGTCCTCACTCAGGACTTAATTCTTTGACGTGAGACGAGAAATAGTTTTCTCTCATGGGGGGAAAGACAATTCTTGGGTTTCTTAAGATAAATCTTAAAGAGCGTAAAGGTAGGTTTTATTGATAACTTAAAGGTAGGAAATAAACAAGAAGAACATGTAAAGAGCTTATACTGAGGGTCCTAGTGACCCTTTATATAGTCGCTCTTCACCTGGCGTAACTCATACCTTGCGTCACGCGAATCCTGTGACTCATAACTATGAGTCATGTGAAATCCCTTAGCCGACTTCTATGAGTCCCTGCGTAACATTCCTTAAACCAATCAAAACATAATAACCAAGTCAGGTGTGCAACTCTCGTCACCTGAGTGAAACCCATGACTCATAATTTGAGCCATGTGCGAAAGGCATAACATCGTGTGACTCACAACTCTGAGTCACAAGCAGATAAACATAATAACCTATGGTGCACTATTGTGCGTCATGTGAAATCCCACCATACCTATAGCTCAGAATCCCGAGCTATGTGAAATCTGCCTCCTTAGTCACAGTTCGTGACAGTGCTTACCAGTCAAAATAAAACGGTGCTCCAGAGGTGCAGTAGCAATACCATCAGCCTCAAAAATTGATGTATTATTACTATACCTCTGGCCAGTTATACCCACAATAGCCGTACCACTACCACCAATCCTCTGCTTTCTTTGCTCTAGTAGGTCTCAGATAAATATATCAGAATTGAAACCATTGCCAACTACTACTAAGGGTTTTGTTTAGCATGGTACTATGAGAGATTTGAGCTATGATGTCAAAACAACTAAAAAGGAGCTACAAGAATAGGTGGAAGGAGTCTTGAAGAGTCATTGCAGGTAGTATGTGGGGGATATTGGCTGCGTCCAACATTTTACTTGGTGGGCAGTCCCCGAAAGAGGGAGAAGTTGGGAATTGTGAGTTCAAAAGCCTTCATATTGTATTTTGTAAATTTTTTGATGTACTCTCTAATAGTAAGGCCCATTTGCAGTATGGCAGACGGTGCACTAGTTAAATACAGAGTGAGAATTTAGCCCCTAACGCTACCAACCATTAAGACCCTCTTGATAGTTGCCACCATCAACACATGCTAAATGGTCATCTGTAGGTAGACGGGCCCTAAGTTAAGCTAGTTAGGAAAGGTTTTTCTAATGCTATTGGAGTTGAGCAATTCAAACTAGGAAAAACAGGCAAATGATTTTAAAATGGAGTAGTAGTGGAGAATAAGAGTGGAAGAGTCTGTGGGGGAGGCAGACAGAGTGACAGTTGATGGAGATGCATGGGGGGTGGTGTACGAACAAGCGTAGGCCGAAAGGACAGAAACTGTGAGGCAAGGAGGGAGAGGTGCAGGACGGTGGAGGAATGAAGGCATGGAGTAGTGACATCCTGTCCTCCCTCTGTTCGTTTTCAACCACAAGGCCGTCGCCCCCCTGACTAAGTGAATTTATTGCAGGCACTATTGTCATCTGTAACCACTGTAGTTCGTTACATGATCGAACTTGGGATGATAGCTGTGCACACCGCAGGATTCCCACCACTACACCTACCGTATGCTAATAGACAAGAATTACAGCGGTAACCCGAAGTAGACACTATCTTGGGAAATGAGAGGGGTGGCAGGACTTCCAAAATTTCCAGTCCAGAGGATAACAGTTGTAACCATCTTACTCAAAGGGACTTTAGAGGCCACATTCCCCACTCACTGAAATCACCAAAAGCGAGTGAGATTCGGGAAAGAACGAGGGGATAACTAACGCGGTTAATCTAATTGCTGCAATTAGGTAGTTTGGCAGCCCAGGCTCTGCCCTACCGTACTTTTCACACCCCCAAGCACAGTGCTACCGGTAGTGCAACCCACTTCCACACCATCGGAAGTCGAACAACTTAGGGGGGAAATCTGCCAGTACTTTGGAATTCGGGAAACACTACAAACCCGGACGCCAAATAGGGCGACACGAAAGGATCACTGGAGTAACAAGACACAGTGCCTTATCATGGTCTACCGCTACTAACGGTAGAAGGGGCACCAACAATACTCAAGCTCATTTTCCTTCTTTTCCAGTTTTTCCGGGTACCATACTAGTTATAGGCTAAAGGACATGTTAGAACTTTGATTACGAGCAATAACGAATACAAGACGAAAGCTACCGAGATCTCTGTTCCTCAGACAAAGTGGATAGAGATCTCTCTTAAAGAGATGATATGCCACGCTAAGTAATAATGACAGCCCACCCCCGCATACATTCAAACCACCACGCCCGCACACCCACACCAGAAGTCTCCCGAAGCCCTACATTATGCATCCTCTGTCCTTACATCTCACCTAAACACAAACAACCACACCCACGATGCCACCCACAAGTTCCACAATACCCAAAACAACTCCCCAATCCCTCTCCTCTTCCAAATCCACGTCGAAAACTTGCCCGTCAACTTCAACCCTTACCCCCTTCACCTCCGAAATCGACCATTTCTGACGCAGCTTTTGCAAGAAGCCCTCAAGAGTTTGCGCGTCGCTGACATACACCAGTTTCACCAGTGTTGAGTCTGGTAGTGCGGATGTTCTTTCGTGGAGACGGGTTACGAAGACTTGATGAGAGGAGTATGTTTTTAGTTGCTGAAGGGGATTGTACTGCGGTGATGAGGACTCAGAGTACTTGACTAGCGTTGGGGGCGGAAGTGGACCTAGCGGTGTACGAACGGATGCAAGAGAGTCTGGTAGTTGGGAGTGGGAGGGTAGAACAATGGGAAGAGGTGCAGGAGGATCACGGTTTGGGGGTGCAGCCACCGGCTTAGAAACCAGCGCAATTTCCCTTCGTTTAATAGTCAAATTCCCCCTATTTCTCCTCCCCCCCTCCGATTTTGGGATACCCTCTCCTAGTCTGATACGTAATGGGGCTGACCGCTTCTTCGTCGGGTATCTTTGCCTGCTCCTTTGGACTGGAGCAGATTGTGCAGATTCCTGCGGGAATCTCGGAAACTCGTCCGGCGGGGGCATGTATGGTATCGAAAACTCCAATCCAGCGCACTTTCTGCGCTGTGCAATTACACCAGCACCGTCACTCTCGACCAAATCCTTTCCACCTTCTAAGACTCCAACCGCGGGTGAGCACCCCCGACGACCAGCAGTGGAAGAAATCACCCTCAGTTTCTTTGAAAAACGAACAGTACCAGCGATGTATATCACCAGGCTGCGAAATACCTTGCGAATACTAGATTCCCGGAAAACAAACAAACAAATAATGATCAGCAAACAGTCCTGTAGAATCATGTCAGAATGGGATGCCCACTCTTCACGATCCCCATCTTCTCCAGCACTTCCCCAGACCATCTTTCTCTTCGCTATCCCCCTTGCCTCAGCCCCCCAATACATCTCACCCGCCCAGCTCTCGAGACTAGCAGTGACCCACTCTTCGAACGAACCTCTACCGACGGTTGGCCCAGCAAGGCCGATGCGATTCTCTTGACAGAGGAGTGCTGCACGAACTGCTACCCAGAGTTCGTCGAAATCTGCATCATCGAGGCCACTTCGAACTTGCAGGCTCGTGCGTGTTATGTGAGGCATAATCTCAGGTTTGTGATGGTGCGGGTGGTTACAGGGTTCGTGTGGCGGGGGAGAGGTTAATGGAGGAGAGGAGAGGGGGAAGAGATGAATGGTGGAAGATATTGAGCGGGATACGCGGATTCGTGCCAAGAGGTAGTGGAATTCTGAGTTTGATGGGAGAAATTGAGGATTAAGTTAATTGATCACTAAGTTGGGCAGTTTGGAACACGAGTTGTCCCTCATGTCAAGAATCTGATATCCCGGCCTGCTTGCAGTATGATAGTCCACAATTCGGCGTCAGATCCATGTCATATATATATAACAATGCCTCACCCTAGGACTTACGGATAATTCATTCATCAGGCACACCTCATGTATCTTACAAACCTCACTATAGCTCCGATGTAAAGCGAGTATCATTACCCTTTCTGCGTTCTCAAAATACCCCTAACCCTGTGCAAACCCTGTCCTTATTTCGTCCCGCCGATCGCAATGACTAACAAGATATCATACCCCCAGATCCAAGATATTAAAATGTAAAACAAACCAATACGGTAGGAAACCTGTTATCCCTGGGGCGTGCATATTTCTGCACTGCCCACCGAGCCACTGGATATGACAGCCAGGACCTCTGCCTTGTACAGTACTAATTGAGAAGTTTCATTTGTGAGGTGTCCAAAGTTTCTGGGGGTTTCAGGAACGTGTGCTATGATACGTTCTTCCAAGCCTAAGGCGCAGCAACCACTGCGAAATCTGGCTCTAGAAAGCCATCAATTGTACCATAGGTGAATCACTACTTTTTTTCTCCCCCTCTAGTGTTTCTATAAAAGTCGAGTTAGCTATAGTACCTCCCATATCCCATGCATTGTTGATCCTCAGACTCCAACAAATCAGGGAAACCCTTGTACCGAGTTCTCAAAAACTTGTAGAAGTATTGATTCTAATTCACAGTAGCCCAGCACCCATGGTACGCTTCACCGGCATCAATTCGAGCGCAAGCTTCCATTTCAAGCGTTCTACATCCCAAACAACATCCACCCATCCAACATCTATCCCCACTCAGCAGTCAACTTTATGCCCAAAGGCCTTCTTATACTCCGAAGCTAGTCTGGGGAAAAGACCCTTCAAAGCATTCTCGCGGGCGATCTTAACATCCAAATCATGTCTCGTGAATTGTCCAGACTCCTCCGGTGCCGTTTTCCCGTGATACGCAACCTCCCCGACAGCAGCAGTATACGGGTAATCCGACGCATATATTATGCGCTCCACGGGGAAGCCAATGTCCAGCGTTACTGGCCACTGTACCGGTGCGGAAATGGCAGTGTCGACAAAGATGTTGCTCGTCTTTATCACCTCGAACACCGACTTCCCGTTATTCTTTTCCTTAGCCGATGGACCTAGGTCTTCCAGGCGCTTCGCCATGAACGGGAATGCACCTCCGTTGTGGGAGAAGAGAAATTTGATGTTTGGATAGCGGGTGAATACGCCGTTGACTATGGTGCTCGCTATTGCGCGGGCCGTGTCGAACGCGTATTCGAAGACGTCTGGGTGTAGAAGGTTAGTTGCTGTGCATAACTTGCGGTGGTGAACTCACATGGCTGATAATCCAGTCCCGGTGGCATCGCGGTGTCCGATGGGTGGACGAAGATGGCGGCATCGCGCTTATTCAATTCCTCCCACATGGGATCAAATGCCGGATCGCCAAGGTATTTGTTCCCCATTGCGGTCGAGAGCGCGAAACCATCAGGCTTCACCTCCTGGGTGTATATATCCCTCACAAATTCCAGCGTCTCGTTAACATGAGGGAATGGTAGCATGGCAAATGTCCCTTCGCGCCATCGTCAGATATCACCGCGCTCAAGTACCATGAAAAGAAAAAAGAAAAATCTACCAAAGCGAAGTGGGTTCGACTCCTGAATCTTCAGCTGAGCTTTTAACGTCCTCTCGCAGAGGTTCTTCCACCTCGCCGGCGGCCATTGGGTATGCCATTCCTTCTTGATACTGGGCGATAGCACGGCCGTCTGGATTCCCATGGAATCCATATACTCTAGGTGGTCGTCCACGCCTTTTGGGAAGAAGAAGGGTTGAGCTCCATCATTTACGAATTCCGACACAAGCTCGGGGATTGAGTCTCCGAAGTAGTGGTGGTGCGTCTTCCCTTACCATGTTAGCAAATTCCGGAGACGGGAGAGTAAAGCGACTTACGTCAATCCTTCCGGGCCCTGTAAATGCTGTTGAAGCGTTCATTTTTCAAGGATGATCCTCTGGAGAGATGGGAGTAAGAAAGGCTTAAGGAATGTCCTGCTCTTGTAGAAACCGAGTGCGGAAAATACTATGGATCGTTTTCTTATAACCACAGGACTGGAATATCATGTCCTTAACACCGACTGAGGGATATTTACGTCTCCGCGATGGGGATTCAGAAGTCATCACTCTAAAACAATTTAATCCATTCTATTATTTACGGACTAGAGGTGTTGTGTTACCTCCGCCCCTGTACAACGTGAGGGACCGAGTAGATCTTCGATTCTTACTCCGAAACGAGTAAACCATCCTATACTCAACACCCGCACGGGCACCAGAACTGCAGCAGAGAGTGTCCGTCCCAACTGCTTTTGCAAGGGGTTACAGTACTAGCGATTCAATCCCAAACCCTTCGTTCCACTAGCCCCAAGAGAACGACAGAACTTTTACTGTACCACACAAGGATTAACTACCCGAGAAACAGAAGTAGTCCCCAAGCTCTATCCGTCCTATTAATTGGAATTAGCCCCCCCGCACTGCCATTCATACCGGTATTCTTCCTCGTGTTCAAAGATTTCTTGACCCATCAACATATACGTATTATAAAGTGGAACCCTCCCAATATCCACCTTTTCCCCATTCCTCAGTGTGCTATGGAGTTGAAACCCCGCCTTGAGAGTTTTTTTAGCCTCGAATCATCAAAAAATGACAGCATCTCATTAGATATTCCCCCTTACACGCCATGCTACCCAAGCCTATACATATGTCATTCTCGCGATCGGTGTAGCCCCGGAAGGCCAGGAAAAAGTGGTGCTCCCTGCCGCCCGAAGAATCACTGCAGCTAATTCCCAACCATGACATCACGGGGTGCTATAATTCCCCATGTTCAGCCGATACTCGGGCCCTGGTCCAGAGACCCTAACCTGCTCATCCAAATTTGCAGGTAGCTCCCCTCCCAACTCCATAGATAACATAATCCAACGATCATAGCACATGATTTTCCAGCGGCGGATCGAGTGTTAAGTCCGATCAGCTCGGTTCTACACGACCAGAGAGTCGCTCGATGCAGCACCCCCCGGCCATGGCTCGAGTATTACCTGACAGTTAGAATCCGCTTTTTCGGGGGACGCCTACCTGACAGGTATTCACTTAACGTTAGTCCCTCCAAGAACTTTTCTTCTCGAATTCTTTTTCTACCCGCAGGAATTGAGCCGGAGTATTACTGCATAATGCAGTGGGGGGAAACCGCTCGGGAACAGCAACAGGTGATTAGAAATGCTCTCCCGATACAAAACCCACCTTACGAGAGAGAAGGTGCGATGCCCATTGTATTCTCGTATTCTGTGTTCCACAGCAGGACCATTGACCTCTTCTATAGCGCCTTGACAGGCGGAGATCCAGGCTAGCATCTTTTTCTTCCTCAATATGCAGACTAACGGTTTTTCGGGAGGGTTTAGTTCCGCATGTTCGCTACTCGTTTCTGCCACTCTATCAAGGGTTGTGATAAGTAGCCAATGTCCCCATTGTAAATGACCCGGTTCAGAGCATGGCCGGACATAAGATGAGAGACAGGAAGAGAATCATCCGCTAGACCTTAGGTTAACATTACGCTATGTCTGGGTATCATACATGCTGCGCGAACGGAACCCCTATCCCCCCAAGACGTCCTCACCACTAAGTTAAGTACTTATCATATCCCACCAGGCCCACCCTCCACCGGCATCTGGATACCCGGATCCAACCACTTTCAACCATGCCCGTGCGTGGTAATACACATTTTCGACTGAGCTCTCGCAGAGGTATGCCACACCACAATTCCTCCACCACAGGGTTGTTTACAATGCCGCACACAACCCATCGGGTATCCTAACCACGTAGGCAGATTAACTTGCTACCGTGTGCTCCACCATACCAGCGAGCAGTGGAGCACACCATTCGAATTCCAATCTCAAAAAAAAAAAAAACCCCTACCGCCAACACTAACCTACCAGGTATGTACTATACGTAGGAGCACACGTACCAGTAGTCGGGGCTGATCCTGCGGGCATAGAGTAACTTCAGTACTATACGAAGAAGTGTATGGTAGTCCAGTAGGCGTCTAAAGCCAAGCTCCACAAGAATGAAATTATTTAACCAGAAATAAGAATACCGAATTACCAGCTCATAGCTCCTCGAAGGCCAATGTTACCCAATACGTAGATGCCCTTGTCCTTCACATACTTGTAATGATGGCTTTAGGCATACCATTTCACGAGACCAAGAGCACCTAGTCCAGCACAGCGCAGCGTACCCGAACACGCTGCGGAACAGGTATCCAAATCCTGAACCTCACCCAAGGAGCCCTACTTCTCTGCTTCCTACAGTACAGCCCAGCATACCAGTCCTGGCGGATAGCACATCCAAAAACACGGAGAGTCTGGTGGGGATAGGTAAAAAAAAAACAATAGGCGGTAGAAAGCTTTACTCTTCACCAATTCTTCCTTTCCAAGACATTTCCCTATATACCCTCAGGTTTTACTAGAGCGTTCGGCAATGATGGTACCCGCCGTATAGGCAAGAGGTGGGCTGTCGGTGTGGTTTCCACAGCACCATACCGCTATCGCATGCTATTTTCTGCACAAGTAAAGAAGGCAGCTCAGACTCTAGACCACAAGCTCCATCTCCACTATGATACATTCCGGACCCCTCTCTCTGCCTTTCTACTTAGGATCATGGTTGCCAGGTAAAACACCAAAGACACGATCCTCCTGAGCCGAAAATTAGAGTTTCCCCAGCCTCCAGCATCCCATGGTCGTGGGTTTCAACTGCACTATGGCTAGCACCATACTGCTACCTATCATACCTCATTCACTTCCATAGTGGCGCCAGCGCCTATACAGTTATGTGAGGCAAGAACTGTCACCACCTCCAGCCATCATAGCGGCAAGCCCCCACTGCGATTTGGCCGATTGAACTACTCGATACCACCGTAAATGTGCGACCGGTATTGCACTGTCCCGGACTGCATGCCCATCCAGCCGGTTTAAATTCTTACTATTCCAGGTGCCAGTACACCCAAGCCGCGCCATCCTAAATACACTGAAAGTTCCTTAGCGACAAGTGGCTGCCTGGGTACCCAAACTGCTCTGTTTTGAGGCTGGGGTGGTGGAACGCTCTGAGAAGATTGGGATGTGTTTATATTGTTAGTGCTTTGGGACCTTATACCATAACCTTTTAGAATGCAATAACGAGCCCCGGTCCTGTGATTAAATCAATCCACAGACTCGACAAAATATATAAAATTTCAAATGTTAAAAATAGCACTTGATCGCACATGGAGGCTGCACTGGTCTACATACGCACTGCTGAAGGACGAGTACGCGATGGAGACTTTTTCTGATCCGGATCTTATCTTCCTTCCTGTTTTCTCTCGAGACACCTCTTCCTGTACTTCAACCTCTCTCTTCAAGTTCTTCCTTTCTATCGCCTCATGGCAATCAATAATGGTCTTTATCTCTACCTAAGTGAAACATCATGTCTCCACTCGAGCTGTTCCACCACACTAGGTAAAAGCTCCACCGTCAATCATTACCTCACTAGCAATCATTTTCAACATCAAATATTAGACTATTCCGAGTCATGTAATATGAATCTGGCACCCGACCGGGTAACCGTACTACTATGTACAAGCACCCCTACCAGTCCTGAATTGGGGCACCCTGGTTGGGAACGCAAGGAACCCCTCGTTAAAATTTTGAGCCTCCTTGACGCACCCCACAATCAACAAATCTTTTCCCTTTTCCCAATCACCCTCCCCTCAATTCCCGACCACCACCACCGCTTCCAATCCTTACAACAAAGCAAGGATGCCAGAGCCCGACATGGCTCCGGTTTCGAACGCGCTTCCCCCTCCATCCGCGTTCCTGCACACCCCCGAATCAATACCACACTCATCCTCACCGTCAATAATCCACCTGAAACGGGACCTACTCGTCCCCCTCTCCTTCCAATCCAACAACGCCCAGCCGGAAACCCAAGACACCCGAGCCGCCGCCTATAGTTCCAAAGGCGTGCTGAATACCCGCTTCGGCGACTTTCCGCATTCCTCCATTGTCGGAATACCATACGGGAGTCAGGTCCTTGCCGCACCGCTAACGAACAACGACCAGAACCGGAAGCGCAAGCGGCGGGCGGACGCTAGTGAGGGGGCGGCTGCCGAACCTATATCTACGGGGTTCCTACACGTTCTCGCGCCGACTGCCGAATTGTGGACTGCTAGTCTACCGCATAGAACGCAGGTTGTGTACATGCCCGATAGCTCGTTTATCCTGCACAAGTTACAGGTCCGGCCCGGCTCAGTGCTAATCGAGGCCGGAGCCGGGAGTGGAAGTTTCACACATGCCGGAGTTCGTGCAGTGTATAATGGGTATCCCGATGGGAGGAGTGGGATCGGGAAGGAAGGGAGGAAGGGCAAAGTCTTTAGCTTTGAGTTTCATAATGAACGAGTGCAGAAGTTGACAGATGAGATTGAGAGGCATGGACTTGACGGGTTGGTGGAGATTGTGCATCGGGATGTTTGTAAGGATGGGTTTCTAGTCAAGAATACGGTGGGTGAGCAAGAGGAAGAGGATATTTCTCCCAGAGCTACTGCCGTCTTTCTGGATCTCCCAGCGCCTTGGTAAGTTGCTGCAACTGGATTCATTTGCTCCCCTTGCTGACTGAACTAGGCTTGCGCTACCGCACCTAACCCGCCGGACACGCCCAACGCCTTCGCTACCGACCTCTACAGGGCTCACCCCATCTCCTTCACCTGGCCCTACCGTGAGCGTTGAGAAGATTCGCGAAATACCGGCTACTGCCACAGCTACAATGCCCCCACGGGGCCTTCTAAATCCCACTTCCGCTGCTTCTGCCCAAGTGCCGATCAAAGCAGAAGACGGCACCACCGTGAGACCAGATAACGCGGCCTCCAACGAACCCTACGACACCGGAAAACCCTCTGCTTTATCACCAACGGAGGCGGTCAGAATTTGCACCTTCTCGCCCTGTATCGAGCAGGTAACTCGAACAGTCAGTGTCTTGCGCAAACTCGGCTGGGTGGACATTGAGATGGTCGAGGTGCAACACCGGCGCATAGAAGTCCGTCGACTGAACCCGAAGGGCTACGAGGACGGCGCGGGTCCACGAACGGTCGCTGAGGCAGTTCAGAGGTTGAAATGGGTCGGCGAATACCGTGAACACAAGCGCGAAAGGGATTCAGCGGACTCTACTACTAATACTGCAGTCAAGCAAAGTCCGACTGAGGCGTGGAAGTCGCAGAACAACCGCGAGAGGAAGAGCGCAAAGGATAGCAAGATTGTCACCAGGATCGAGCCGGAGATCAAGAGTCATACGAGTTATCTTGTTTTCGCTGTGTTGCCCAGGGAATGGACGGCAGAGGATGAAGCAGCCGCGCAAGCACTGGTGGAACAGACAACCAAGAGCGTTGTGAATGCTCCTATTGATGGGAATCTCAAGGGCAATGGAAAACTCAAGTGGAAAGGGGAGAAGGAGGAGAAGCCTAGGAGTAAACGCCAAATCAAAAGGGCAGAAAGGGAGAAGAGAAAGGCGGAGGAGAAAGGGCTCAAGGGGGATGGGGCAATGGAGGATGGAGGAGCCCCACTAGCCAATGAGGATGATGAAGAGGGAAAAGATATCCTGGGTGTAGAGGGCGGAATCAATGAAATGGAGGTTAGCGAGTAAGGGTCCGATCAGGCTTGGTGTATCATTATTGTTAGAGTAGAGCTGTAACATAGCTTGTACGCCTTAGCGCTAGCTAATCAATGTAATGACCCTGTACGGTAGCTGTTCCGGCGGAATCGCTTTGCTTACCCTTCAAAAGAAACCTAGGGTTCAGATTGATATCCTAAAACGCCTGCGATATACATCTATACGAATGCTCCCCGCCCCCAAGGTAATGATACAATCGCACCTCGCACCCAACCAAACCCTCACTCCTCATTCCCACTATCCTCATCCCCATCGTCATCATCCATAATGTCCATAATATCCAGCCCAACCCCCTCCCCTCCAACACCCTGCGCCCGTCGAATCCCCTCCTTTGCCCTCCTAGTAGCCTCTATCTGCACCTTCTTAATCGTCCCACTAACCCTAACAACGCTAACCACCGCCCCCCTCCCCATCACCTCCTTGATGAAGGTCAGAGCAGCCCACAACATCCTGTAGTGGGCCCTTGAGACTCTAATTATTCCCGTGGATGTGACGGGTGAGAAGTACTTGACCACCATGTTCCCTGCCGCACCAGCTCCGTAGTCACCGAATTGGAGGGCCAGGCTATCGCGTATGAGATTGCTGAGGGTGTGTTTTGTTAGACTCGGATGCGAGGGGTGGGTGAAGGGGAGAGTAGGGTCGGAGGTTGGGGGGGCGGGCTCGGTTGGGTAGTGGATTGTTATCAGGAGGTAGCGAGCTTTGTAGCGGACCATTTTGAGGGATACAGTGGGGCACGGCAGTGTTCTCGGGGGAGCGTGAGAGGGGGGGTGGAGTCAGAAAGGGAGTAGGTTGTATATTATAATAGTGCGTTCAATGAGAGTTTAAAAAGAGCCGCACTCTTGGCACCGGGCATTTCAGGTTTCAGGACGCTTTTGGCGTTTGTGAAGCCTCTTATCCTAGATTTCTATCATAATCTCTTTTTTTCCTCTCTTTTCTGTCCCAACTGCTACCACTAACATGCCACTTCGAATTCCACGCATTTGTACTCCCTGGCTCTGCAGAGGGTATTCCTCTCCAACCGCCCCTCCGTGCCCTCCCCCGCCAACTGGAATATCAAACATATCCCGTTTCCGACAACTCATTGAAATCCACGGGCCAGATGCGGCACAGTATCTTCAAGGATTAACTACGAGGAATATTCCCACGCTATCTGACGGCGGGGGCTCTTATTCCGCCTTTCTGAATCCTCAAGCGCGTATCCAACGAACTGTATTTCCACTCATGCTAACGATATCAGGGGAAAGTTCTCTACGACGTCTTCATATACCCGACCAATAACAACTACTTCTGGCGCTCGCAAATTGCGAAAAAGAACTTCCAACCCATCCGCCACCCTACCACCAAAAAGGTTTTCCCGTTAGACGCTCCTGGCTTCTTCATAGAATGCGACATAAGATCCGCCGATGCCCTCCTCGACCATATAAATCGGTATAAACTCTCCTCGAAGTTCGACTGCCGCCTTATACCCAGGGGCGAATGGGACATGTGGGCTATCTGGGACGACCGCCGGCTCCTACCCGTGGGCGCGGGCGACATCGGATGCGCAGATATCCGAGTGCCCTATCTTGGAAAGCGAGTCGCTGTGTTTGGCGGCAAAAGTATAGGCGTAGAAGTAGACGTCGCCGTCTACAATGTGCGAAGAATGCTCCACGGCGTTCCGGAAGGCCAGGACGAGATCCTGAACGGCGGGAATATAGCACAGGAGAGCAACATAGACTACATGGGCGGCGTGGACTTTCGCAAAGGTTGCTACGTCGGTCAGGAATTGACCATCCGAACGCACCATACGGGGGTCGTGCGGAAGCGGGTTCTCCCCGTCCAGATCTACCGTCCCGGAGATTCCGTGCCGGAGAAGCTCACCTACGACCCCAACCTCGACCTCGCGCCGTCACTGCCCGGGAAGAACCCGAATATAAGCAACCTGGACGGGAAAGGGCGGGGCGTTGGCAAATTCTTGCGGGGCGTTGGGAACGTTGGGCTGGCGCTCTGTAGGCTGGAGGCTATGACGGATTTGGAGCTTGGAGGGGAGAAGGACAAGACGGTGCCGGAATTCAAGCTTGATGTCGAGGGGAGCGAGCTCAGAGTTAAGGCTTTTGTGCCCGAATGGCATTTGATGGGGAGTGCCATACCGCTAGCACAGAGGAACTCGGAACCGGCCCACAAAACGATAGTCCGACGTATAGTCAGTGACTGACGACAGTGAATTTTTCTGCAAATACTGGTAAACAAAACCAAGCAGTTGAAGCTACTCCTGGGCGGAATAAACTAGTAGTTTTTGTTTTTTTGTTTTTTCTTAATATTGAATCCGACGCACCCAGTTGGAGAAATTGGCAATGTAAAGTGGGAAGTTGTGATGAGAGTGAAACAAGTACAACATCCAGATATTCGCAGGACGAAATACCAGAAAAGTGGGCCCGACATCATAGTCCAACCACAAGCCGTGAGGACGAGCCCGTTGCCGTAGAGCCATTCACCACCAACTCCGCCCTTCCCGGCCCACCATTAGGGTGCACTGTATTACACTCGTAACGGGTACTCGAGTATGATACCGGTACCAGGTCCAGGACAGCTCCGGATACCGCGCCTGAGACTGACCTGAACGGGCTGGTTACCGTAACTGCCTATCTGCCCAGTATATTTCATTGCTGCACTATACGAGTAGATTAGCAGATGCTGTCCCCAGGCTACTCGAGTACACCACAACGAATCCCTCCACAATATCGTCCCGGGTAAATACACCCTTCCGGCAATATAACGGTGATCGGGTGTGTACCATAATGACGGGCTCCTCATCGGCCAAGCCAATGACCCCTATCAAAAAAGCGTTTTCCTGGTGACCAAATGGTAGGATTTCGGTTTGTGAAGTTTGGCGGACTATTTCTTGAACCATGTCTCAGCAACCGGGGACATTCAGACCCAAGAATGTTAAATTACAGTACGATGAGTTCCCGATATCTTGTCTCTTGGATCTGCATAGTGGGCTGGTTACCCGGCCAAGGGGCCAGGATTTAATTTCTGGGAAAACGTTTCCCCTGCAGCTCCCTTTCGGGATCAATCATCTCGACATCTCAACCACCCTGTCGGCCAAATCGCCAAACTTGCCACACACACAGACACACTCCTCAAAATTCAACATTCCTACCCCGCCGGAAGTCCTCACTTAAACCCCAGGCTCGCCGTCCTCAATTCCTCGCCGCATGACCGAGTCGCAAACCATTTCGCCGCCAATCCCCCAACTGGACGAGAACACAACAGCCCCGATGGACTCTACAATTGACACCGACACGGTTCTACGGCAGAATTTGGAGCACTGGGTTTGTTGTGGCTTAATATCTCCCGCTGACATCGCAACGTGTTGACTCTTCAGAAGCAGCAAATGGCCCCTCCTCCCCCTCCGCAGGGAATGCAGACTCCTATGGGAATGTCGGTAGCTTCCAGAGCCCTGGACGCACAATTAACGGAAAGCCAATCGCCGGAGCTGCTTACCCCGAAAACCGCTCAGACACCAAAGGGAGGAGCAAGGTCTAGAGCCAGGGGCGGCACTGGGAGGGGTGCCCGACGTCGGAAGGCCAGCAACGCTCCCATAAAGGATGAGAGTGATGTATAGTCATTTCCCCCCGCTTCAGAGTTTGCACAGGCTAACGGCTGCAGGGCGCATCATCGGAAGAGTTCACAATGGAAGGTGTCAAGACAAAGTCCGGGAGGAAGGTACATAGACCGGCACACTTCAATCCGGCGCAGAAGCAACCGTCCCGACGCCGGGGGCCGTACCGCCGCATTCACGATGCACGAATATGCAAGATCTGTCAGCGCGGTCACTCGCCGCAATCCAACATGATCGTTTTCTGCGACGGGTGCAACACTCCGTATCATCAGCTCTGTCACGACCCACCAATCGACGACTTGGTGATAGCTGTCGCCGAGGCAGAGTGGTTCTGCGCGAGCTGTAGCAAGAAGCGGGAGGAGCGGCCGCTATCCACTGGCCTCAGTGGGCAGGGCCTCACGGAGGACGAGAAGCGGGCGTACCTCGCTTCGTTACCGCTGTCAAGTCTTGTGGAGCTCATATTCTTCTGCGAAAAGGCGCATCCAGACTTGCCATTGTACGATCCAAAAACAAAATCCATCGTAGCCAACATCAAGACGACAAGCGTAACGTCCGTAGGGAAAGACGGAGACGAGGGGACACCCGGCGTTAATGGAGATAGCGCACCTGCAGAAGTGGAAGGCGGCGAACCCCCGATACACACCGGAGTGCCAAATTGGGAGGACATGATCGTGAGGGCGATTGCAGCGATCGGAGACGAGAAGGGCAGCCAGGCCAAGGCGATCTTTGAGTGGTTAAGCAAGTGAGTATCGCGCCCTGTCCTAGCGTCCCGGACGTCGGGAATGCAATCGTTTCTAACTAGGATAGTAATTATCCCGCCCTCGAGGACCGTGATATCCGTTCCGAAGCACAGGGATCTCTGCAATCGGCGCTAAGGAAAAGCCGCCTTCTCAGGGAGGGGCATTCATATAAAGTCAATCCAGAATACGTGTGTTTACTGAGGTTCTCTCTGCCCATGAGGAGAACAATTTACTAAAAGTCGATCACTAGATATCCAACAAGTCATATGCGCCGTCCCAAACAGACAACATCCCAATAATATCCCCCGGCTCGGGGATAAAGCTACCCCCGGAAACCGAAGACACGGACGGTCTCTTAGTGGACGACGATCTAGTTGCCTTCAGCCATCGCTTCAACGAAACCGCCATTTCGCACCGCACGGGAGCAAGCGTTGACGATGACGACTTGATGGGCGGGATGGGCGATGATGATGACGGGGGCATACTGGGCATCGACAACATTAACGGCGTTCAAGACGCGGATGACGGCAACGAGGATGCGCCTGGAGAACCCGACGCCGAGGCGGTACCCGCGCCGGTGGTCATGGGATAATGCTCCCAATCTCCTTGGCGCTCGCACTCCAACTCCAGCATGCGGCAGGCAGGAGGAAGCTCCTACAATGGAGCGCTTGCATACTGTATTGTAATCACATTTTCCAACCCGACGATGTACTTGTAAGTTAGATAATAAAATTAGCTTTTCCGCAATGCACAGTAATACTATGACGCTGTGCAGCACCGTACTGTACGAGTTCAGTTCCCCTCCCCATTACTCGTTTTCCGGATAAAGAATACGCCTGCAGAGTACGGGTATACAGATTTACGACTGGCACCATCACTTTTAACCCGTGCGCCGACAATCGTGCAGCCACCAAGCGCCCACCTATCCATAGTACTCCGTCTATGGTTCGGGGACAAAGTTCCGGAGCCACCACCCCTGTCATACAGGCGCACCGGTATTGCAGCGTACAGTACGAGGGCAGTACCGCGCCGTACAGCAGCACAACCACACCCGCAACCAATCGCATCTCACAAACACCGCAACACACCCCTAGCAAATCCAGCCACAGCACTCGCACAGCTCTCACCCTCCGCCATTCCAATCCCGGAAACCAGGATTTTCCGCACAATCAAGGCGCAGGAAGAGAAGGAAGCGAGAAAGCACTGGCACCCTGTCACCGCTACAGTACAGAGCATGAGGGAGCCCTCGATCGTGACGGCGCAGTCCTGTCAAATTCGGATCGATTCCTGGCCGTGTTTCTGGGTCAATCGAGACTGGTATCAATCTTGTACCGGTGTGGTATGGTACGGACGATACCATACAAGGACGCTATGGAAATCTGCGCCCTGGGGGTTCCCCCCTCCCTGCTGCTACTTGTGCCGTACACTCGGTTGCAGGTGCTGGACCGTGGATGGTGGGGGGAACTGTATGATAACTCGCCCTGTTCTAGGTTAGAAAAGTGATGACGGGGGAGGGGTGGGGTTCATGGTAGGTTTGTTTTTTGTTTTTTTTCCGCAGCCCCATAGTGTTACGATATGGTAATTACAAGTCGGCCCCCCGGCATGGACTCGACATCCTGCCTTTTGGACGGGGAGCTCCGGTGTGATAATGGAGGATTGCGGTTGGGGGGGTTCCAATATAATAGGATGTGCGAATGTTTTTCTGTTTGTTTGCATGTAAATTATTATATCATACGACGATTCAGGCGATGCTGTGTAGAAACACCCCCCTTGGGGTTACCATTGCGGTACAAGTATCATAGATGGCTATTAAAATTTGGAATGGTGGAATACTTGCCCTGGAAGGGACTCAGAACAGGCCTTGGCATATCTTCACCCTGAAATCTGGAAAATCCACTTCCATCATGAATACTAAATTTTCTAAAATCTGAACCGCCTTTCCCCCCTTGTCCCCTTGGTCAGATTTGAAAGATTCAGAAGTCTAGAAACCTCTGTATCATATGATTGCTTCAACCAGCTGCAAGGCCACAATTCTCCACAAATCGGGCGTTATTCCTCAATGCACAAAATGGAGTACTCGAGTACCAGCGCAAGCTCCGCTCTCTTGAAATCCAGCAAGCACCGTGCTCAGCACTGCACTCGTACTCGCACAACGCGCCGCAAACCCCTTCGACCAGTGCACGGTCCTACACAATAGGTTTTTAGCCTCGGGTAGTGAACAATGTCCAAGATCTTACCGAACCAATCCTCTTTGCTTGTAGGGAACATCCAATACTGTGACATCAAGCCCGGGCCTCTCATTAGGGATAATATGCTCCCCTTCTGTTCCAAGAGCTAGGAGGCGATAGGCTTGAGAGGGGGGGGTCACCAAAGTCCAATTCTCACAACCCCAGGAAAGGGGAGGCATAACGGCAAGATGCGAGTGACAGCATGTGATTAACAGATTGGTGTGCATAGTAGGTGGTACCGTACTCGTGGAGTCCCTCCGCCTTTTTTCCTTTTTCCGCTGAAAAAAAGCACTGCTATGCATGCGAGGGAGCGGTTTTCTTCTGGCGGTGCGCGATGGCAATCTTTTACGGAGACCTCGGATATTGCGATGGCTGTACCGCGGGGGCATTGTAAGACGTGTGCTTCAGACAGCGCTCAAACTGAGCGCACGAACCCATCAACTCAGGTAGAGGGGAAACACGCCATGTAGGGCATTGTACTCGAGTACGGTATCTTGATGGGTGCTGAGTTTTCCGGATCTCATCAACTGGTATGATATTATGTCCCCTTTTCTTCTCCTTCTCTTGCTAACGTGCCCTGCTAAGCCGATGCGGTTCAGTACAGTACTTGCACTAGTACAGCGATCTCAGTCGAGATACCGGCACCCGATGGGCCGAGTTTGCCGTGATTTTTCCCCTCGCCTGGCCGAGAAGGGGGATTCCAGCGTCTAAGACCCCAGTCCCACCATCCGGGTTCCCCACGATACGGTAAATTCTCATACGAGTGCTCTGTTTAACCCGCAGCAAGATTAAAAATGAGAATGAACAAGAGAAAGGCAATAACACCTTCCCCCGCCATGGCATCGGAGCATGGACCATTCCCCAGTGATGGCGACATTGACGCGGACGGCGGGGCTGAAATAGGAACGGGGGGGTAAATTGGAGGCCGGGACCAGTGCGGGGTTCTGTTTGATATCCTCCGTTCGTGAATGGTCGCGGAGGACTTCCTTGCGAGGCTTTGCCAGACGTATCATAGCCGTTATCTCGCATGCCGTACCGTATGACGCGAAGAATGACTACCCCGCTATTACGATACCGATACTCGAGTAACTTGGACAATTCCTTCGTCTTGCACTCACTTTCCCCACCACAGCCGCAAATATCGGTTTTCAGGAATAAACCTCTGAACCAGCCAATCGGCCCATTGCCCCACTCTCCTCTCCTCTCCTCAAGAAACGCAAAGCACAAAGGAATACCCCACTGATATCGTAGACTAATGCGGGAATAATTGCCGTAACCCTAAGACCAATCTCTGCACATCAATAATATGCTCGCAGCCAACGAGACCGCCACCAGATCTACCTATACAAAAACCGAGCGCACCGATCCACTGAGGGGGGAAAGGGGGAGCCAGGGGTGTTGGGCCTGGGCACGGAGCATGCTACCGTGACCCCTTTGTCCGTGCCCAGATCCCACACACTTCTAGTACGCTATCATACTACTCGTACTGTATGAGAGCACGGCACAAAGGCCGGGGACCTTGGAGGCTAGGGAAGGCTTGACGATAAACAGAAAGGGGCATAATAAATATTGACTGCAACCCGATGGGCGATAGTTCCTTGAGGAGGGCCGATCCTCCACAATGTTGGCGGATTTTTAGGTTGTTTTGGCACTTATTCTTCGCACCTCGTGGAGTGGCGACGCTACTGACTCGCGTACTTGAAAACAGACAAAGGGGTGGCGTTGCAGGAAGGGCGGGGTAGGAGTAGCCCAGTGGAGATGTGGTGTTTTTCACTGCATAGACTATCGCTTTTCGAGAGTACGGTATCATATCCCGTGAGTTTACGGTAGCACAGTTTTATACAGTCCCGGTGTATCGAGTGGAGCCCGGCACAGCACAGTACTGTGCAGTGCCTGCGATGCGGCAGAAATATTATCAAATATGCACAGTCCAATCGATCCCCCCCCCGTCCGCCCGCTGCAGCCAAAAACAAATATCCTAACCTTTGCATATTTGTGCCCGTAAAGAGCAAGCCCGATAATATCATAGCCCACGAGTACTGCGCCGCCAGGGATTATCCCCCCCCCACCGGTTAACCCTTCGACCAAACAAACCCAAGAAACCAAGTGTCCCCCAAGTTGCATACCGAACCATCCGACGAAATGAACCTCCCAGCCAACCGCAGCACCCTCTAGGTACGGTATCGCAAGCAAGCAAGGAGTATGATACATATCATACCAGCAACAGAACTACTATACAGGTAGTCTACTGCACTACAAGTCGGAAGGAGCCAAGTTATCCACAGCACCAGCAAAAAAAATCCTTCTCGGACAAACAGTAATTTAGGTAATAGAGAGAGCGGCACTTTGCCCCCCTTTCACCGTTAGCCAGGCCAAGAGTTATACTATTGTACGGTGCTCAACCGTACGGTGGCCGGTAAGATACATAGTAACGCCCCCGCTCGCCGCTACCATCCTGACCTGACAGCCACGAGTAATTGGGGAGGAAAGTGCTAGTGCGCGGGGGCCGTGATCCTACAACTATGATATTATATACTAGAGTTTTTCATCGCGGGGTAGTGATCGCCATCCGTCCGTCCGTCCGTCCGTCCATTCGCCCAATTCCGAGGAGGGCGAGGTAGAGCCTCGTCGGTGTGATATTATACTACGGTAGCATGTAAATTAGCAGCCAAGTCATTTTCCATTCACAGTCGAGCCCCCCCCCCCTTGGTATGCGCAACGTGTAGCGCGGCGTAGCGGAGCGGGCGACACGAGCAACCAGCAAGAGTACGTACAGTGCCCTATTCGGCAGATCACGGATTATCACTCGCCTATGGTCTTGGGATACGGTGAATTCCTTGGGACTTGGCGTGAGGTGGAGGAGGGGGAGAAGGACTCCGTATTTATCTTGCCATGTGAGGTTCGTGCTGTTGCACTCTTGGGGGAAAAATCATCCTTGTTATTCCCATCACGTGATTCAACTCGTCGGCAATACCATATCACTGTACCTTGGGCAAAGCCAAAGTTAAGAGTGTATGGTGTTTTACAGGACCCCCGGTTTCCCCTCCTATCCGCGATCCTGTCCACGGTAGCCCCACAGTCACCGCGAAAACAATTGCCATGGGGCTACCAGCAATTGATCAAAACCTCCCAGCCTACCGGGGAAGCAGCCTTCTCAACGGGGCTGCCATTGCATGCGGCCCCGGCCCCTTCACCATGAGCTCGTTTAGCCCGAGATCCTTCCACGCCGGCTCGTGCTTTTTCTGCTGGGCCTGTGCGATGCCAAAGGCGGCTGTATAGATATGGTATCAGCATCGGCAGGGGGAAAAAGTATGCACGGTACAATAAAAGTGCTTTAACGGAGCTCGGTATTGGATTGGGTTGTCGAGGCTTACCGTGCTGGTCGGGGATTACTTCAGTTCGTGAGGTGAGTACGGGTAAGCTGAGGTACTTGTATTTCTAGAAATAGAATGGCGTTTCTTTCCGGAGACCCGCTGAAACGGAAACATACCGTCATCTTCATCTTCAGGATTGATGGGCTGATGGTGCGGTGGGACATATATATCTTGACCATCCACAACAAATGTCAGAAATTAGCTGGATATGATCCACCCCTCCCACAGAACCAGCCAGCACAGGATCGGAAATCAACAAAACGTACCATCGTTCGGAAGTTTGTCGCGGCAAAACTCCTATCATTTGGCCACATGCCGTACCATACCATACCATACTATTAGATGACCCCTCCTATGAAAGCAAACTCGCCCCGACACTCCAGAGAGGAGGAAGGGCGGGGAGCGAGCAATAGCCCATACCTCAAACAAATCCGCAGTCCGGCCGCTGGAAAGGTGCACATAAGTTCTTTTAGAATCCTTGGACTGTCGATTGTGAAAAAAAAGGAAAGAGCCTGCGTCAGTGTTTGTCTGCTGTAACCAATCAAGTTCGGGATTTTGAGAATTTGAATCTCGGGGTAACAGTAATGACATCCAAAGGGAGCGACTTGGGAATACCATTTTAATACACTGTCTCGATCGATTCTTGGTTGTGGCGTAAGGGGAAGGGGGTATTCGGATGTTTCAAGAGAAGCGGAAGAGCACGATATCGATATTATAGAGGAGGGGGAATACGTCGCGTACGGGTATAGTACAGTACCGCGCGGAGTCGGGGGGGGTTCTACGGAGTAGGTTGGATAGATTTGTCCGCGTTGCGAGCTGCAGCACCGTATCGATCTCTCTTCCTCCCCTCGATTTGCCCTATCCCCTATAGAGTAGGGTAGGCGACGATGGTATAGGGGGATGATTGATGGTCGGTATGGTCGTACGTGGTGCGCCTCCCCGGGAACTGGAGTGGGAAAGACGTTGCTGCGTGGAAAAATCTCTTATCGACGGAATCATACAAAGTATCATACATACCGCCATTGTACTCGAGTACCGTACCCTATCATACAAAAATAGAGCCAAACCACAAAGCGTGCCAAGCAAAAATAAATAATCCTGGTATCATACAGCATGATAAATTTACCACAATTTATGACTTAGATCTGACCCTCTGCGCTGAGCCAAGTGGGAGAAGCACGTCAAGAGTATCATACTGATAGCACAAAGTGGACACAAGTACCGTACCCGTACTTGTACATGTTTGATACGGCACAGCACCGGGAGGAACTCTTGAGATCCACCAGATTACAAGCGCGATCGATGAAGTGAGTGGGCAAACCAAAATTCACACCGAGATATTCCACATTCCACTGGAGAGAAAATTCATAAAAAATGCAAACTATCGATAGAACCACTAAAAGCAATGATGACACCATTTCCTATATACAAATATCCCCCTAATTCCTAACTCCACAAGAGCAGTGCCAGTATGCAGTTGAACCTTCAAATTCCGCCAAGACACAGTTTTCCCACCAAAAATAGCAGTCTTGGCGCAATTTTGAGGAGAGTCCCGTTTCCCAGAGCTAGTCTACTACTCTGCAGATAATTCAAATTCATTAGAGGCTACAACCGAAGCCAGCCAGTTTAAATCTTTTCTGAACACTCTATGAAGTTGTCCCACTTCGAACCCGAGTACTCGAGTACCGGTGCTGGAATAAGCACTCCAAGTTGGCTGATTCTGGTGTAAACCCGGCTGTGTCCACACACTTCCCCGGTCCCACTTGTATTGCCGGAAACCAGCCTATCGGCCCTTGATAGGCTCAGGTTAACAGAGTTCAACACGTCTGGCGGGCTGACCAAGCACTTATGATATCCTCGTCGAGGGCCCCCGTCTCTTAGCCTGGAGATTATACCGGTAGTATAGGGCTCGCGGAGATTACGGATTCCAAGAGTTTTCGCGATATTTCGTGCGAGCCCTGGCGCATAGGTTATACCGGGTCAAGTCAAGTGTCACAGCAAGCGCGAGAGGAGCGATGGTGCAGGGGTCAAAGATAGACTATCAACATCTCTCGCATTTCACCACGACAAGTGGGCCAATGCCAAATCCCATGGTTATTCGCGGAAAGTGGCCTAGTCTTTGGCATGGTCGGCTTGGTTTCGCACCTTACTCGCTTCTCAGCAAACGAACACAACATCACAATGAACGGTTTAAAGATCCAACCAGTGACTGGTTAGCTTTGTTTGCTTTTGCCCGTCTTTGCCTATAACGGACTGGTCCAGGCCAGCAGCAGCACGCCATGTACTCGAGTACCGGTACACCAATACGAGATGTCTACCACCCATGAAAAACCCGCGCCAACCGGCGGGCGGAAAATCCACCATCCAAGAACCGCCAAGGGCATAAACATGATGTCTACGAGCGGTGGTTAGGTATGATGGAAGATGAAGGGAAAAACCAAAAGACATGGAATTTATCGGGGAATTCCTCCCAATTGTATGCGGTGGAACTTTTAGAGACGGGGAAAGAAACTTCGTGATGCCAGCACGGCCTCGTATCGTGATAGGAACGAGGCCTCAATTCTTTCCCTCAGCTCCTGGCTCCGGAAGACCAAGAAAAAAAAAGGCTCATGAGAACGAAAACTCAAGAGGTGACACAAAGAAACATCCTGAACCCTAACGAACCCCCCCACTCTTAACTCCTACAAGATCTCCAAGAGCCGTGTTTTTTTTTTGCCTAATTCATGTGGACAGCCGTAAGAAAGGAGTTGGCAGGCACTCATCGCCGTTAAACGCTGAGCTTGTGTTGCTCCTTGTGCAGAATATCGTTGGGAACGTTTTGCGCGGAATGCATCTGAACTGGGGTCGGGGACGGCATTCCTTCAAGGTGCTTTCGTGGTCGACCCGTGCGCTCTGCATCGCCTAGGGCAGCGAACAATGCGTTTACCGAGCCGTCTGTAGCACGTTCCTGTAAAGGTTGCTATCTCAGATGGGGTACCGTGATAGAGAGAATGGGGGCATCATATCATTTACGCCGCTCCCATTGGACGGAATTAAAGAGCGAGGGGAAGGTGGGGTAGGCTAATCGACAACGGGAGGGACGGGGGGGACGGTGTATAAATCAAAAGGCGTAATCTAGGGTCGGTGCGACTTGTAGGATTTTCCCTGCCATTTACTCACCTTTGCTCTCTGACAAATCTTCTTTGCGGTGTCCGGATGAACGAGGAATTTCGTGGAAATATCAACCCAATTCATGTCGGTGAAGAGGTGTAGGGCGAGTATTCCTGCCCGGATGGGTATCGGAGTCTCCGGCCCTCGAGGCATTGTGCTTTGTATTTCGTCGTGTATTTAGAATGTGTGATGGGGTATCTGAATTGGCTGACCTCTGACCGATGTCAATCTATAACTCTCGATATTGCACCCTACGAGGGTCACGAGAGGGATGCAGAGGGGGTGCTGAAAACTCTGGAGGAGCGGGAAACCGAGGGATAAGGTGAAAATGGAGAATGATACTCAGCAGCGGTGTATGTATTCTACTCCTTCTGCAGGTTTTATGGAAAGGCGCTCTAGGTGGACTCCGGAGACCCGCTATAAAAGGCCAGCCGGATGGGGTGGGAAGGGGGGCTACTTAAATCGGGATCTATCATGGCTACAAGCACCGTGTATCCGAAATCTCTACTCATAGCTCGTCGCGACCCCAATGACCTCATCTTCATCCCCCTTGGCAGTTTTTAGCAACAGTTGGGCTGCTACGACGGACTGGTGAGCTTTTATTGGGGGTTGCAGTGGTTGTGATTTCGAGATATAGTTGGTGCCGGACTTGCGGTCTGGAAAGCGTGGGGACATGTTTCGGCCCTGCACTCGCCTATACGAGTAGTGGCCCCCTCAGCTCGCTGCGCCTTTCTCCCTGCCCAACCCACCAGCCTGCCTGTTCCTACCACGTAAGAAGGGGGAAAAACAAGTCTTGCGAAAACGAGGGATCCCTGCTTCCCTCACGTGACCAGGAAGTTGACTCCGGGGCCATTTATTAGGGATAGAAAGAAAATCCGTCTGGAACGACTGAACCATCGAGTAGTGGCGGCAGGGTGAATTGTGATATTCTCATCCTTGGTACTGTAGAGCATATGCGGGTGGGGAATCAAACTGTTCCTTCCCCTGCGGCATTGTAGCTGTGTCATGGTCTACTCGTACCCTTCAACTAGTAACAAACTTTTGGCGGGGGAAATGGATAGGTGTGGAGGGAGGGGGAACGGGGATTTGAGGGGGGTGAATATGATCAATGGAAAGACGGTTTCTCGTGCCTTCACATCCTCTGTTCATCAGAGGTGTAACTTTACTATCACTTTTCCCAAAGGGCCTCTGACGTCGTCCGACTGCGTGAAGGAGAAGGCTCACAGGAGCGTTTGGCCATCAGGGAGCATGTGGTGACACTGCAGAGAGCCTGCCCTGTGGGAGTTGTGAATGTGCGAGTGTTATATAGTCCAAGGGGGCAATAGGCTAGTCGAAGAGCCAAAGACAGAAAGGACCGGTTTGGGGTATCAAGATAAGGTTGCTTCACAGTTGTGCGTTGTAACATGTTCAGTACGAGTAGATCTCGGAGAGCCTTGTTTTGTGTGCAAAGATGTGTTACCATAATCCCACAGGAGACCCCCGGCTGCCGGATGGATCCAACTATGGTAGTCTGTCGTGCAATACCCTTATCGTACTGGACGGGTTTCTACTGGAAATTTGCGGGACTCGATCCCTATTCAGCGATCTCCATTCCCCGCGATGCCTACAATTGCACTTGGGATAATGCCCCATTGTTGTCAGTGGGCTTGTGGAGCAGGATCAAAATACTCGAGTACCGATGTTTTGTGAGAGTTGACTAGCGCTAATACTACTCGTAGTATTCTATGTGACTAGATCTCGATTTGACAACACATTAACAAAACCTGAGATCCAATGATAGTGAGTGAAACAGTCCGTCCAGAATATCGCCGGAAAAGGGTTTTTGGGATTGAAAATATGTCCGGTGCGTGTGGTTTGCCACCCGATGAGATTTTTCTGGTGCTTACTCGCCCTATATGATGATTGGTAAATGCACTCGCAGGGTTATGGCCGGGTACAGACAAAGCGGCTCTAGTTCACGAATCTGGGCCACCCAGCTGCGGCTTCCCTGTTCTCCAAGAGTTTCTTGTCCGGCACGGTCTCAACCCTTCTGGAATTTGGTTTATTCGTGCCTTATACCACCTGCTTTTAGAGCAGTAAACGATCGCAAATCGGGAACTCCTCGACACCTCAGTTCTAACTTAGCCTCCCCCACATGCGAGGTAGCACTGGAGTAAGGGCAATGGATAGATTAGTCGATCAAGATGCCCAATGAGAGCAGCCATCCTTTTATTTAATGTCGTGCTTCTTCCTACCCTTACGGCCACCACCACTCCCTAACCCACTACGGCCCTCAATATCCATAACATCCCTCTTGCTCAGCACTAACGCACCCCCCTTGAACCTCCCAATACTGGGCCCGAAACCACCCCGGTCTCGCCGCTTCTTGCTGGTCTTCTTGCTCGTTGTAACCTTTTCCAACACGATGCCTGCTTCTTTGGCGCTCTCCCTCCGCTTCAATTCTCTCCCCTCCCTGGCAGCGGTAATCCCTTTACGTATGGCCATGGGCACGTTCTTCTGGGTTGTGATATCCTTGCCCCCTAAGGCTTGTATTCGTGACTCCAAAGCTCTGAGACGGTTCTTGCCAGTGGCTTCAAGCTTACCAGAGGTAGAGTCTAGTAGGTGAGATTCGCGGAGCAATCTTTGAAGCGCCAAATCATTCTTTAACATTTCTGCTTCGGAGCGGGGATCTTCCTCGTCATCTGAGCTTTTCTTCGATTTTGTGGGAAGAATAGTAGTAGAGGAGGTCGGTAAAGGTGGTTTGGATGACTGGATGAAGGTTAGAAAACTGTAGAGTTATAGACCGAGCAGAAATCAAACCATAAAGGACTTCAATTCACTACGTGGAGCTTTGGGAACGGATCGTGGAAGGTCTTTGGTAGCATCAAACTCGGTAACAGGGACTGACGCTCTCAGCCTCATTAGTTATTGTGCCAACGGAAGAACATTAGAGCAGTAAATCTAGCAAGCCCACCATTTTCGATCAATCCATCATCTCCGACACCTGGTATTCCCGCCCATCCCTGATCGCTCAATTCCTCTACTGTCTTCTCCCGGAGTGTCTTGTGTTTCTTTGAGCTCGGCTTTTCCTGTGTGTCTTTGAGTGGTGCAAACTGACTCTCAAAATGTCGTCGGAATATATCTATCTTGTCGACATCCGATCTGCTGCTAGACAGGATCTCACGTTTCCTCCTCTTTTCAGGCATGATGGTGTGCTATGATAGTTGGTTCTTCGAAGAAAGGAAGCAGGGTGTTGGATTTTTTTTTTCTGAGATCTCACTGGCGGTTTGTTTTCAGTTTAGCGGGATCGGAAGTGGGAATTGTGGCTTGGCAGATCCTCGTTAAAGCTGTTGCGGCTCAACCCCAACGCGATGGTGGGCCCGCTGAGCCTGAACCAACCCCCTCCAGTGGGGTCCCTTCTCTCCTCTTATTTCTTTCTCTAAGCATTGTCCTATCGTGCATACATCTTGTGCTACTTTTATTCTTCTTGGTTTAAATGTCTGCCACCCCAGCGAGAGTCAAAAGCCTGATCGATGAGCTCATTCAGTCAATCACAGGGCTAACCGCACAGGTTTGTGCCCCAAATTATCTCTCTCGGCGCTTCTATCATGGGTTCTAACAGAATATGCGGACAGGAGGACCCAGAGAATTTTAACCTCTGCCGGGTAAGGCCCCACGGTGTTTCTATTTTCGTCGGGACTCCGGAATAATTGCGAAACAGGATTTCGCTCTCCGAAATTTCCGAGGATATAAGTTCGGTCGGACAAACCAGTTTGATGTAAGGTCGAAGCTTGATGGGTAATAAGTTCGTTTCGTTGATCGATTTATTCTAATAAACAATCCATAGCCTTGAAGAGAAATTTCGTGTCTTCAACCGGGATGATCTGGCCGACGCTTTTCGCTCTAGGCTCAATGAGCTGCCCTCATTGACCTCTGGCTTCACCCCCGAAATCCTTTCACTTTTTCTATCTTTGTCCGATAGGCCTCTCCAAAACTCAGACATCTCCGATTTAGAGCTTCTCGCGAGACCCGATGTTCCTAAGGAACTCACATGGGAGGATATTATTTCCGACGACCCGATGGAGGGAGAGATATGGGAGGATGTGGATTTTGGAGCCGAGAGCAGCGACGAATGGTCAGATGATGGCTATACTAGGCCAAGGTCGCGGGATGAGTTTGTTGAGAACCTAAGGAACGAGGCTGAAGATAGGAAGAGGAACGCACCAGGCGCCGGAGATGGTGACACTGACTATAGGGCTTCTGGAGTCGAGGGGTTTATGGCCCAAGGAGATGAAGGGGGGCTTGAGCTATTGAAAAAAGCGCAATACTGGAGCGAGAAGGTCCTACCCATTGAACAAGAAACAGATGTTTCTCTTGCATCTGGCGGAGGTACTATACTCTGCGTCATCAACTATCACTCTACCCCGCATATTCTGCGGTTGATTTGAATCAGTTCACTGACGTAATAAATTTGGCGCAGTCAACAATATCTCACTCATATCGGAGCTCCAGGCCATGCGGGAGGTTATTTTCATGCTGTTAGGTTATCCTTGCCTGCTCTTCCACAAAAAGCCCAACGACGCAACTCTCCTAGTAGATACAGCCGATGCGATGAAGCGCTTTGCGCTGAGTCATGCATCACTGCCTGCATTCAGAGCTATCCTTAGCTGGTATGCAGATAAGGGAACAAATATCAATGTTATCCGCACCTTCGCGCGATCTAAAAACTCTACCACGGACTTTCCCGAACACCAAACTTTCGTCGCATCTGTTTGGGATAAGCTCGCCATCCTTGATCAGCACCTGATCAAACTAGAAGAGCTTCTGTTAGTGGGCAATAAAGGCTTGGATCAGATAGTTTCGGTGCTAGCGCTCCAGGGCGAACTAGAACCCTTCCTCGCTCCCTATGATCTCCTCTCGGATGTCATAGTCGAACTTCCCAAGACAGGAAAGCCCCCAGCCGATCTAGCATTACAACACCTAGAATGCCTCTTCCGGCTAGCATGTAGACTGCAGTCCATAGGCGACCAAATATCCTTCAAGTTTATAACGGACATATTTTTCAGCTGTCTGCGAACATATTTGCGCCCTATTCACCAATGGATGGAGTCCGGCGAACTTCGCAAAGATGACAAAGTGTTTCTTATATCTAAAACCCGCAGTGACGAGGAAGTCGAACTGGGTGGTCTGTGGAGCGACCAGTATTCCCTAAGAAAGGACGCATCCGGAGCCCTAAAGGCACCTGTATTCGTCCACGCGGCTGCAGCGAGGATATTTATCACCGGCAAGAGTGTTGTTTTTCTAAAACGGCTCCTTGAACACGATATACCAAGTTCCGCTATCCCACTTCAGCCGCAGCCAGTCGGTGCAGTAGACATCGACCTCTCAACGGTCTACAAGAACGGCGAGTATCTCGCCCCCTTCTCGGACATGTTCGCCGCAGCATTTGACAAGTGGATAAACGACCGTCACCATTCAGTCTCCTCCCGCCTGAGAGATATATTATACCAGGATTGTGGCCTATGGAAGAGCTTAGATGCAATTGAGTGCATATATCTTTGTAAAAATGGCCACCTTTCTGACGCGTTCTCACAGGCGATGTTTGAGAAGGTTGATAAAGGCGTGCAGACATGGGGGGATCGGTTTCTGCTCACGGAGCTACTCCAAGGGGTATACGGTGGTGTCGCATGCGTGGAGGTCGATAGGGTGAGGATGAGGGCTAAAATGGAAGGTATGAAATCTCTTAGAGAAAGGAGAAGGACTGTCAAGATGTGGAAGGGTCTTGAATTGAATTACGTTGTACGCTTTCCTGTCCTTGCTCCTTCTGCGATCCACTCCTGACCAGGCAGCTACCGTGGCCGATTATGAATGTCATTCGTAAGGAATCGTTTGAAATGTACAACAACATATTCACATTCTTATTGCAGATCCGACGGGCAAAGTACATGCTCGAACGGCTCACATTATTAAAGGAGGATTTTAGATTTCTAGGCGAGAGTGGGGAGGGCGCTATATATTACTCTTTGAGGCACAGACTCTTGTGGTTTGCGAACATAGTTTACTACTATCTTACCAATTTGGTTCCTAACCACTGTTCTCCCGGAGGGATTTCTCAGCTAATGCCGACGGCAGGTCCTGACCCCACAAACAACCCACATGAGGCAAGAAATGGCAAGGGCTGTGCACGTAGATGGCATGATACAGGCACATGATACCTATATCCAAAAGATCAAAGATCAGTGTCTGCTAGGAGCAAAGGTACCAGCCATTTTCCCATCCCCCCGCCGCCCTCACTCAGCAGACCTAACAGTAAAACAGCTAGCGCCAATCCACCAAGCAATAACCTCGATACTCGACATCTCAATCCTCTTCTCAGACGCCCACCTCGCACACAGCACCGCGCTAAAAACCCTTGACGCCCCCAACGCCTCAATTCATGACATCTCTGTCTTCATCTCATCCCACACCCCCCGTCGTCGTCACCGCCGCCGCCAAAAACGAACAGGAGAACCCCGTAGCGACAACTACCTCTCTGGCTCAAACTCCGACTCGGAAGATTACGAGGAGGAGGAGAATTTCGAGGGCATGAACTCATACATATCCTTCGAGAACGAGGCGTACGCGCGACAGATAGGGCGCATGAGTGAGAGGTTTAACACCCTACTTGAATTTGTGCGCGCTGGCTTGAGGGGTGTCGCGAGGGCGGGTGTGATGCCGCATTTGGAGGTTTTGGCGGATGATTTAGAGGGGCCGGGGAGGGGTGGTGGTGCTAAGGGTGATTGATTGGCTAGCCGGTTAAGTTGGTGTATCAAGTGGTTTTTCTTTCCCTCCCCGTGTGGCACGAGGCGGCTACCGTAGTTTGTGATAATCATGGTATCATAGCCGAGGCTTCGGCTATGGTGTTCCTATAATAGAATCGTGTATCACATGTCGAAGAGCGCCCACTGTGGCCCCACCCGCACGACGTCAGGATATGCTGAACTAATACCGGTATCGGTAACCCGTGGCACGCATACCGGTACTGTAGATTAACGGGGTTGGCCGGCCTTTAATTCACTGAAACTCACTCGCGAACAGCCAGCAAGACCAAGTCACAAACACCGACACTGGAATGATGGAGAAATCTGACGCATCATAGTGGCGCGAGCAACTTATGAGATAAACACTTTTCAGCCACGACATCCCTATCCCTCAGTACCCCGACCGGTAAAGAAATAGAAAATAAGAGAGGGAAAGGATAAAGAGAATCAGCATATAACCAGTCCAGCTTGCACTGTTCTAGGCAGTTTTAGAGAAATGTTACACAATAGGGCCATTTACCACACTATGATCACAATAAAGAAAGAACTCCAAACAAGGTCAATTTTATTTGACCCCGGCGAAAGGAAGCCTAGCAGCACTTGGCCGCGTCCTGGTCCGGCTCGGTCCTCCTCAATTTCTTCGCGGCGGGCTCACCGGCGTCTGCTGCTTCTTGAATTCCTGGAGCCGGATGCTCGATGCCCTTGAGGAGAGGCTGGTCATTACCAGTCTTGATATTGAAGTGATATTGACGGATGATGCTATCACTATATTTTGCGATCGAAACATGAGCACAATGGGAAAGTAAAAGGAAAGGGAGGGGGAATCCATACACGTCGTCAACATTCAATGGACGAACATCAGCCAGCAGCTTAATCTTAGCGGTGCACTCCTTGCACTGAGCGTCCGTCATGTCCAAATCTAACTGTTCCACGCGACTCTTGATCGCATTCCATCCGGTCAGCCTCGATGCGAAATGGACATATCGAGTGATTCCGAAATCGGCCGGATTGATGATCTCATAGGTGCTTGGGTTCGCTAAGATTGCTTTGGCATGGATTCCGGCCTTGTGGGTGAAGGCGCAGAAACCGGTGATATAGTTGTTGAACGGAATGTTCACCTCGACAGCCTCCGCAACAAGATTTTCAAGGTCACGGAGCTATTTGCGTTAGATAAATGTCCGAGGCACGGATATTACAAAATGAATTACCTTATGAAGCTTATATTTGCTGGTCACGTACTCACGATCGGCAACGATCATCCTGGCCATAAGGCCTCCTAAGGGAGTGATTCCGTTTCTCTCGCCAATACCCAGAACACTGGTGTCGATGTGGGTGGCGCCAGCTTCGAGCGCACAATAGGCATTGGCGACAGCGCAGCCGGTGTCATTGTGGAAATGAGTCTCGATATCACAAGAGACAACGCCTCTGAGCGTGCGAACGAGATCGTAGACCTGCCTGGGCGAAGCGCAGCCAACGGTATCGGCAATACCCTAATGATGCATTATGAGACGTCGCTCTTCGGGGGAAGGGGCGCATCTTCACATATGAAGCTTACCACACGATTAACGCCGATCTGGTCGACAGTACGGTAGATGCTCAAAAGGTCGACAAGCTCGGAGCGAAACGAGTCTTCACTGGAGAAACGAATCTCGATCTCGTGTGATTTGACAAACTCGATGACCTCGATGGCAGTCTTATGAATGTAATCCATATCCTTTCCGTGAGAGTGCTCACGGAGGAAGGAAGAGGTCCCGATGACGACGTCTCTGCATCACAAGAGGTATTTAGAAAACACGAGGGATATTGAAAAGGCCGGGGAGGTCTACACTCCATCAACACCTGTTTGAACGGCAATCCGGGCGTCATCCATATGACAGCGGATGTGTGTCAAGATCTGTATTTTCGAATAAATAAGCAATTTTCCAATGCAAACTTTGCAACACTAGACAAACCTTGGCCTTCAGCCCGAGCTTGCATATAGCCTCGCAGTCAAGTCTGGACTGCTCCGAAGCGGCAGGGCTCGTCAATTCGATCTGCGTTTATAGATATCATTAGTTAGTCCGGGAACAGAAGATCGAACCCGATCACCAGCCTTGGTGCTCCACGGGAATCCATTGCCGCACAAATAGCGGTCCGGGTTACCATTCACCGTAATTGGGTGCGGAAATGAGTTGCAGCACAAGGGGACAGATCTCGGTGATGGGGGTGACGGAGGTGGGGTAGTGTGTCATACATAGTCAACGCCGAAGTCGTCCAAAGCTTTGGCAATCTCAATCTTCTTAGCGGTATCAAAGAAGGCATTGGCAAATTGCTCGCCCTCTCGGAGCGTGCTCTCAATGATTTTGAAAGAGTTGACGTTGCTGAGGAAATCCGGGACAGGCTGGTAGGGATTTCGAGAGTTTAGGTGGGGACCATGTCGGCCCGACACAGGCTGAAAGTTTTTCTTACCTATCCCGTCACGCACTGTTAGCGGCTGGGACAACGCAATTGGATTGGAAACAATGGGCGGATTCTCTCGGTGTTTGACTCGAGCGGGAAAAAGGTGTACGGGATTATGGGGAGATTTATATACCATTGCCACTCGATGAGCCGTTCACGCTCTCTGTTGGAGGCATGTCCAGCTGGGCTTAAGGGAGGGGAGGCGGTACGATGACGATGGAAGGAGTGGAATCGGTTCTATGTGTGTGTGTGTGCGTGAGTTTGTTTGTTTGCTCAAGCGGAGGTGTAGCGGGGTGAAATTAGATGCCTTTGGCGGAATTGGAGAGGAGAGGTGAGAGGAAAGGTGGCCTTTTATAAAGAGAAGGGGGTGGAGGAGGGAGGGAAGGGAGGATTGAGGATGACTCCACGCAGGTTGGAGCTCTTTGGTGGGGGCTTCATTTTTCTGTCCATCTTTTCTCCTCCCCATACCTTCTGGCTTTTCTTTTTAGGTAAGAAATTTCTTTTTTGTCTACCTCACGCACGTTCAGCTAAGGGTTAGGGCAACGGCCAGCTGCTGACCTGCCCAGCGATGAGCACACGACCGCCAACCAGTCAATTACTGGTCTGCCGGGATGACTTTGGGGGGGTGAGATGGATACCGGTAGCGTAATAGTGTGGAAACTGCAGCAACCAACGGGGCATCAAGAAAACGGGTGGATGAAGGCAGGGGTGCGTCCTGTGCTTGGCGGAGGAGGAGAGCGATGAATTCGTCAAAGTAGGGTAACAACAAGAAATAAATGCACGTTCCTGATCCCCCTTTGTCTCGCTGAAGACGGTAAATTAGCGGTACCGTGCCTGCCGTACCTACTTATACCGTACTCAAGTACAGTACTAGTACCTGGTACAGTAGCCGTGCCAAGGTTCCCGTCACTCCGAGTGGGATTCGAGTTGGGTTGGCTTGCCCCGTGGAACGCAAAGCCGTAAGCTGGTTACCTGGATTGGGATATGGCTTTAGCTAGTAGTTATAGCTAGAATTGATGATATTTATTCGAAAGACGCTAAGCGACCTTCGAGTGCCGTCGTTCTTCGAAGGTCGCTTGGCGTCTTTCTATAGTGCCGGTCACGCATAACCTGGGTATTTTTCGGAAAAAGTATCCACCACTTTGAAGCCCTACAACTCAACTAAAATATGATATAAATTTATTTTAAGAGCGAAACCAGAGACTACATGATGCACTATATCAGGGGTCGCTCTTAAACCAGCAAGAACACAACTGGTTGTGGAGCTGTAAGGGTTTGAAGTTGGAGCATTTTGTATGAGACTGGGTCCAAATGTTACACACCAAGAGTACCTTCCCACCACCTAAAATCAGGGATTAAAGGCCGGGTAACCTTTATTTTCCCGATAATGTGTGATTAATAAGCACTAAAACTAGCAAAAACAGGTAATATCCTTATGTAATATGCCTGATTAGGCCTCTTGGCATGATTATTCAGCCTCAGGATGAATGTTACACTACCCAGGTTAAGGCTGACCGGCACCATAATAGCATAAATTCGTAGCTGAGTGACGGGAACCTTGGCACGGTTAACTTCCCCACAGAATCCAACACGCCGTCTGGCTTTAATCTTGCTTACCGGTACCCCACTCGTAGGAGCAGGCCGCCGATACGGACTTTTCATGGAGTGTGTGTGCGTGTGTGGCCTTTATATCATACCGTAATCCCTTAAACCGTTTTTCAAACACTGGCGCTAAGGCACTACAAGTACTAGCAGAGAAGCAGGAGTCGCAACCTAGGATGTAGCTGTAAAGAGTACTAGTTTTCTTAAAACGCGGAGATGCAGTTTACTAGCAGATTTTCTTCGCGTTGAGATTGTCCAACCCTCACTCGCAAAATAGTGGATACGTGGAAAGCGTCGGAACGGACTAATGGATGGCAGGCAGCTGTTCTGCATAGGACCGGCCTGGGGGTGTCCGCGCCGACGCGGGGTTACGCAGCTGTATTCCACTATGTTCCTAGGTCCTGGAAATTTGGGGGCCTTCCCGCCTATTTGGTGGCTGAATATCGAGAGTGGCAAAAGGATTATGTTGAGGCTGGTTTGGGGGTTCGGTAGGAAACGATACTCGTGGCGGCTTTTGGGGCCGACAATAGGAGATAGTCAGTCCAACGTCACTGGAGGGGGTGCCTGTCTTTGGAGTTCCTTTAGAATTTCTGACACCATTCACATTCCATCTCCTGTGTAAGCCCCTATGCCGTGCCTGGTTGTGCTAGTACAAGTAAGGTACTACAAAGAACTAGCGAACCTGCGGAGAGGGGGGCCCCGCAAGACAACTTTCCCATGTTGGTCTTATAGGATCTTGTCGCGGGTAGTTATTGTGTAGATTATTTTTGGGAGCGAAAGGGGGCCAAAGTAAGGGAACTTCCTAGCAGCTGTACAGCCAGTCGTCAGAAGTGTTCGTGATGCTTAGTCAGCTACCTCGCGAAAAAAAGCCAGACTCTCGCGACCGTGATCGCGACCATGAACAATAACACAATTCATACAACCTGCTCCTCAATTTATTTTTCCCTTTCACCATGGTTTACAGATCTGGATATGCAAACCCCCCGGCTCCAAAAAAAAAAAGAACTCCCAAAACCAAGCGAAGAGAGATGACCAACATTGAAAAAGGCATGATTATTGCCTTTTTCTACTGCCTCCGGAATATTGCCCTTGTTGCTCAAACTATTGGGCGCCCCTGGACCACAGTTAAAAGCTTCCTTACCCGAGCATGTGAGCGCCAATCACTAGAAAACATTCCTCGCTCCGGTCGTCCTCCAGTTCTTAGCCGTCAGCAGCGTCGCACAATTGTCTGGGCAGCCAAGTCCAACCAGAAAATGACCAGATCTGATTTCAGGGATAAATATGCGCCGGGTATTTCCCTTTCTACAGGTAACATCTCAGCCCTGGTGCTACTATGAGTGATAGGATATGATTGACTAATAAGTACTGGTGAAATAGTTGATAGAGTACTCAGAGCAGTCAATATCAAGAAGTGGCTAGCCAAATCAAGACCAAAGCTCAAGCCTGAGCATGTGGCAAAGAGATTCAAGTGGGCTACAGTTCATAAAGACTGGACAGTGGAGGATTTTGAAGGAGTTATTTGGAGTGATGAGTGTAGTGTGGAGAAATCCAAGGATCCAAGACAACAATGGGTTTTCAGAGAACCTGGAGAGAAGTGGCTGTCTGATTGTATTCATCCTAAGGAGAAGGATAAGGGAATTTCTCTTATGGTTTGGGGGTGTTTTTGGGGGAAGAGAAAAGGTTCTTTGGTTCCTATTACTCAAAATATCAATAAGACCAGGTATGTTAGGCTCTTGAGAAGGTATCTTTTTCCTGTTATTCATCAAATGATCTCTTTTGGTATGCAAGATATTCTTTTTCAGCAAGACAATGCTCCTGTTCATAAGGCTTATAGTGTTATGGATTGGTTGGAGAGAAACTGTATTGAGGTTGAGGAACACCCCCCATATTCCCCTGATTTGAATCCTATTGAGCATGCATGGGTGGAGCTTAAAAAGCGATTGCACCAGCAGTATCCAAGGATTGGAGATACTCCAGGAGGAAAGGAAACTGTTAAGAAAAGGCTTGCACATGTATTACCATTAGTTTGGGAGACAATTCCTGAGGAGTTTTTTGAGAAGTTGTAGAAATCAATGCCTGATAGGGTGGCTGCAGTTTTGGAGGCAAGGGGAGGTTATACAAGGTATTGACTATTTTTATTATTTAATTTACTTTACCATTCTCATGGTTAATTGTTTGCGCCCGGTGATCGTGGTTAGTTGTTCACGCCCGTTGATCATGCCCGTTGACAACCCCACTATCATTGTGGCCCGGGAGTTATGGCGCAACCATAATTAAACATGTCTCAGATCACGAACACTTCTGACGACTGACTGTAGAACTCTCACCTGTGCTATGGACTCGGGTCCTATATTATAGTGACTAATGCCTTTTTCGATAGTCTTTTAGGCAAACTCCGGTTATTATACCCATAACTGCCACTCCACTCCCTCTTCTCGCACATTGGGATCTGGGCCACCTAAAGGGGAAGGATAACAAACGGCACGACCTATAGATCCGAGCCAAGGGCCGATAACGAGATGCGCAAGTCTATCATTGAAACCGGGCCGAAAGCTAGATTGAAACCGAGGAGCTCAGAAGAAGCAAGCAGATGCAATCACCTAGGACAAACCTCCCTCACTATCTCCCACCTTAAACTATGCAGGCCGGTGGAGACAGCAATAGCCAATTCCCTATATCCCCTCCCCAAGCATAATGTACAAACCATACAACCCTGTCTATGCCGCTCCTGATAGTGTAGGAAGAAAGGGAAATAAGATCTTTATAGGACTAACTCTTTTAATATTATTCACTAGCGGTTTTCACCATTTCACAAGTAGATAGTAAACTCCTGGGTTCAGACTGAGGCTACCTATCTGCAATACCTCTGACTTAATCAAACACAACTCCATACAGACCTTTATAGTAGCATTATGGATACTATCAACTGTAATAACCCTCAGGATACTGCTTCTACTGGCCACTGATTTATTCTGCCATCATACTTTATAGGTGGAAATCAAAGTAAGGTCTAGCTCTATCAAGATGCTATAATACTATACTGTGTCTATGGTAAGCTAAACCTCTTCATAACAATTACCTGTAATCCGAACTGGCCTGATATTTGTCCTGACTGTCTTCCAGGACAGAGTCCAGCAGACCATCCTGACTTGATTACTAGAGTTTCCAAGCCCCGCCTTCACAAGATTCTCCAAGATATTTTAAAAGTTAGTGATTTGAATTTGGTTGTAGCCTATGTTGGTGTTACAGAATTTCAAAAAAGAGGTCTCCCACATTTTCATCTCCTTTCATCCGGCATGTAAATTACATAATCCTGTGGACATAGCTAGTGACAATACAGTAGACATGGTTTCCTTTTATCCAAACTGGGGACCACTCCATCATGTTTTCTCCTCCATTCGCTCCCCCATCACCAAGATTTCGGCCCTGCCAATCCTCCCTGCGCCGGCCAAATGTTCACCTAGTTTTAAACCCCGATATCTCCGTGAAGACTTGACATATTTCATTTTCTCCTCATTAATATATGGAATTATCTATTCTATCATCTAATCGAGCCATACATAAATCCCACCGGAGCGGTTGTTGAAAATCCTTTAGGTCTTGAAGCTGAGCAATACTTTCTTGGCAAAGGACACCATCATACACGGGCCCCGGGCGCCCCTCAGAGTCCAGTATGATACGGTATCGGATCACTTCATCAGGGTAACAGCAACACCCTATCGGGACGCTATCGGTACGATGAGAAGGCGCCCACCCTTGTGCCTGCTGCGGTTCCAATTCAAACAAACTCTGGGAACAGCTGAGTATCCCGCTGCCAACAGCTCTAACTGACACCTGTTCTCTCCGACTCATCTTTGCAGGACACGCTTCCTCTGACCTCTCAATTCCGGATATATTTCCTCTCTTCCTCGACCTTCTCCTTCCTCCGAAATCGCTTTTCAACCCAGACCCCCCAAGTACTCAAAGCTCACAACTCCCAGAAACCTCCATCATGTCTGGCTACGGTCGGGAATATCCCAGGGGGGTGGCAGCCGTTCCACCAAGGCTGTTTAGACTTACCAAGAGCCCTAACGAAGAGTTCATTGTTACAAATTTGTGAGGGGATTTTCTTTTGAATAGCACAACCCTTGGAAACATTCAAAGCTAATCAACGGGACCTCCTCGGCCCGACAGCGTTGCCGTTTCTCCACGAGATTTTCCTCGCGAGCAATATGTCATATGTGATGGTCGATATATTCTTACGGTCCGGCCCATCGACGCCATAGAGCCTGGATATGCCGGATTCTCTTCCGCTCATAGGGATTGGGCTCAGTGGAGTTTGACTGATCGCATAAATATTGCCCCTTTCGACCCCTTCGCCCACGGACGAGCTCCTTATTTGGGGAGCCTGGACTTGGAAATTGGATTCGCGGCCAAGAAAATAAGTGAGGAGAGTTATGACCAGGACGACCTCACCAAGCTTTTCATCAGGGTATGAACTCTATTTTTTAACACACTACACCCCCACCACTCCAGCCCCCTCCAAGGGCCGGGTTTCTGTAATAATTGGCGAAGCTTACCTATTTTCCGCCAGAGCTTTCAAAACCAAATTTTTGCTCCGGGACAACGAACGATAATGGATATTCGGAATATCAAGGTTCTGATTGTTGTCAAAACTGCGCAGATTGTCAAACTTTCTGACAAAAAGTCTGCTTTGCCTCCTGACGCACCAACAACCGCTAGCCCCTCAGACCACGGAATCCTTACTCCTCACACCTATATCACCTTTTACAAGGATGCGAGATCTCCAATAAAGATCAAAGGCTCCAATAAACGGCCAGCAGCTAATGCTATCATACAACCTAACTTTAAATTTGAGGATATGGGTATCGGAGGTCTTGACACAGAATTCTCGCAAATATTTCGTAGGGCTTTTGCATCTCGAATATTTCCACCCGGGCTCGTGGAAAAACTTGGAATCCAACACGTGAAGGGGATTTTACTCTTTGGACCTCCTGGTACGGGTAAAACCTTGATCGCTAGACAGATCGGCAAGATGCTGAATGCGAGGGAGCCTAAGGTTGTTAATGGACCCGAAATCTTGAACAAGTATGTTGGGCAATCGGAGGAAAACATCAGAAAGTTGTTTGGGGACGCGGAAAAGGAGTACAAGGAAAAGGCTGAAGAGAGCGGGTTACATATCATCATATTTGACGAGCTGGATGCTATCTGCAAGCAAAGAGGAAGTAAAAACGACGGAACTGGGGTTGGCGATTCCGTTGTGAACCAGCTACTCTCGAAGGTATATTAAATACCACACATTTACCTGTCATTCTTGTTGACAAGTGTGGTACCATAGCTCGATGGTGTTGACCAATTGAACAATATCCTGATTATTGGTATGACAAATCGTATGGACATGATCGACGAAGCTCTCCTGCGTCCAGGCCGTCTCGAGGTGCACATGGAGATTTCTCTCCCCGACGAGTTTGGCCGCCACCAAATCTTGAAGATTCACACAAATAAGATGAGGGAAAATAATGTTATTGATCCTGATGTTGATATTCAGGAGCTGGCCGTAAAGACCAAGAACTTTTCGGGAGCTGAGATCGGCGGATTGATTAAGAGCGCCAGTAGTTTTGCGTTTAACCGCCACGTGAAGGTACGAATTGTGTCTTCGTTTGAGCAACCAGTTCCTAATTATTTATAGGTTGGAACTGTTGCCGGGATATCGGAAGACATCGAGAACATGAAGGTTAATCGCCAGGATTTCCTTAATGCCCTGGAGGAAGTTCGCCCAGCCTTTGGGGTTTCGGAAGAAGAACTTGAACAGGCGGTCCAAGGTGGTATCATCCGCTATTCGCAAAATATCAACTCCATTCTTGCAGAAGGTCGCTTGTTTGTTGAACAGGTCAGAAAGTCGGAGAGGACGCCACTCGTGTCGGTCTTGATGCATGGGCCTCCCGGATCCGGGAAGACAGCACTAGCAGCCTCAATAGCGAAGGCTAGCGAGTTCCCGTTCATCAAACTTGTATCCCCGGAAGCCATGGTTGGGTTCAGTGAAATGAGCAAAGTTAGTCACTTGAGCAAGGTCTTCATGGATGCCTACAAGTCTCCACTCAACGTTGTCATCGTCGATAATATCGAGCGGATTCTTGAGTTTGTTCCTATTGGGCCGCGCTTTTCCAACCCTGTTCTTCAGACTCTACTTGTGCTACTCCGCAAACAGCCACCGCAGGGCCGACGCCTTCTGATTATAGCAACAACCACTGAGAGATCTGTGCTGGCTCAGATGGACTTGCTCAACGCCTTTGATGCTGACATTGCGGTACCGAACGTGGCAAACCACAATGAACTTGGCCACATTCTCCGCGAATTACAAGCATTCAATTCGGATGGCGAAAGGCAACAAGTCCTACATGAACTACAGAGTACTACTCGAACCAAGCAGCTAAATGTTGGGATTAAGAAGATTTTAATGGGCGTGGAAACGGCGAGGCAAGATGAGGATATGGCTAGCAGATTTGTGAGCGTGGTTAGTAGAGCAGTTGGTGAAAATGGGGCAGGTTTACAGGGTGGCGAATCCGGATTGTATTAATAGGCGTTAGGCAAATCAGGGCATCCCGCTGCGAGAGCGAGTAGTGCGCCAGGTCGGATTTTTTTTGAGGTGCGGCATAAATTCCATGGGTCTTGTAGAATTTAAAAAGGATTCACTCCAGAATTTATTCTGTTGCGCGTTGGGTGAGGTGTATTGACAGCTCGTACATTTGTTTTCAACATGGGCCCACATAGCCTGCACGGGAGGAACCCGACATGGCCGGTATAGGGGTCTGCCGTCTTTCAGGAGCTTACATTCTTGTGGCCACATGAAAATTTTTTTTCCTTTACCCATCTCGGCCCTAAGGTACAGTAGAAGGGAGCTTGTAGGATTACCGGTGTAAGTAGTGTGACTGGACTGGAGCCTAGTGGTCACCAACCAGCGCTGCTGTGAATTGAGGTGAAATCTAAGCGGTAAATATGCGGAGTCGAGTGGTAGGGGGGCGCTTGCTTCCCTGACTTTCTAGGCTTGATGCATAGGTCCCTGAAATGCAGGAGGACCCTGGGAGATGCCATCTAACGACATATACCGTAGACACAACTTGCCATAGGCTGGATTAGGGTAGCCACGGTAGCCACCAGCCGCCGACCTTAAGGTGCGGAGTGATCCCACATGTTTGTGATACAATAAGTTTGTAGCAAACGCCACTATCTTGATCAAAAGCACTGTGACATCGGAGTGTTACAATCCCTCCCTAGATAACCGCTCCACGAAGTACCCTATCGTAAAAATTCGAAACACCTGGGGCACGCGAGCAGCCAGCAGGTTGCAGCTCTGCCACTTTTACGCCCTAGACTTGGTGGAGCGGGATGAAAGATTTCCACTTGTCCAAAGGAGAATATGCGGAAGTTGTCTCTGTCAGTAAGTGAGATCTCGTGCGATGCTGTTAGAGTACCAGGGGGTGGGGGCTGTTCATCGGGTCAAATTGAGTTTCACCATTTCTTCGTGTGGGTGTGAGATTATCCGTAGTATTACTCGTTGCTCCACCACACACATAACATCTCATCGGTCCGGGGCTGTTGGTGTCCTCGCGCTTTACCAGCTCTGGGAGAAGATGTCATAGCCGGTCGGGTGGGCGATCATTGCTGGCGTGATGTGATATTATACCCGTTCCTCAAGAGAGATTAGAAGTGATTGTCGAGTAGGGTTTGTTTTGTGGGGGGACGAATTGGTGGGAAGGAAGCTGTAACCAGGGCGGGGGGGCCTCTGAGACTTGTCTCTGTCATATCATACTGGTTTGCGCAAAACCCATCATACAGTACTACCTTCCTAGGGGAATACCGGGGTGTGTTGATAGCAAAATCTTGCGATATTTTGCTTGCTGTTTGATGTATGGAAGCTAGGCGTGACGTCGCTTCGGTCCGTCATGTTATGCTCTCCAGCAGAGGGAGAAGCTTTACGAGAGCTAATAGGAGCATGGGGGAGAGATATCATGTCACATATCCTGGGGCAAGGGAAATATGATATGTACAGTATATGCCTTTGACAGCTCGCCCCCACTCTGCGTTTGTCCTTAGAGAGATTTGAGCAGCAAGGGGACAAAATGTGTCTTTCAGTTCATTATCCTAGTAGAGCGTGATGTTGGGGAACAGGGTATCAGGTATTATTCTTAAACTTCGTATTTCAAGCTTCCGCTGAAGAGATAGAAAACACGGAGGAAAGCTCCTCCGTATTTATAGACAAATGTTAGTCTAAATCCGCATGAAGTAAACAATATACCCTTTCTATCTCAAAACAACATAATATTATGACCGTGAAAGAAAATAAATTAGTGGCCTTATGACCGTATTTTAACACAAGGTCATCAGCAGAGCAATGGAAAGACCTTACCAGGACATGCACAGGGGGGATCTCGGAGGGTTTGTGTATCACTGAGGTAGCCAGCCGGATATTTTGTCAGATATATTCGCACACTGGCAAGTATAGCCAGTTTGAGTTAGAATGAAGTTTACGCCTAGCAATCCCCCGAAGGCTTAGGCCGCCCTGTTTCCACATGGCCTACCGCAATTGTCTGGCAATGCTAAGGTCCACTCCCTTGCGCTCTCTCATATATTCCCGAATAGCAAACGTGCCGGCGGTGTCAAAGAGCCGGAATTACGCAGGGGGACACTGCATAACAAGATATCGATGCCTCGTTGAACCGTACAAAATCTTTGGCACCTCCGAGCTCTCACAAAATCTCACCTGTTAAATTGAGAAAGGGTACTTTCAGTTTCGTATAATACCCCGGAAATATTCCCCCCACCCAGTGCCTATAGAAAGTCAGCCCGCTGAACCGGATACCGTGGTAACTGTTGGAAAACCATACCAAAAGAGGGGAAAGGCGGGGGCAGAGATAAAGAATGGAGAGGGGACAGAGGGTGGGGATGTCCTAGGATTGCTATATACATTATGACAGAATGCTATGGAGAGTTCCTAGTTAGTACAGTACCAAGCCACTATTCATTCATTCCATTCCTACAGTGTCTACCGCCCGCCCCAAATGCAGCAGGGGAGGCACGGTTAACAGGTTCGCTGAAATATAACTATTCCCGACTCCACAGGAAGCACAGAATCCTCAAATAGGGCTAGGCGGACTTTTCCCTCCCCTAGATTGCTCATGGCATCTGAATGGACTGCCAATTTCTCCCGATGTTCGACCAAGTCGGAGATACTTGTTGATTTCATTTTGGCTCACTTTTTCCTTATTTCTTTCTTCCGCTCGACACAGCTTTCTAGGCAAAGCATAACACGCATCGGCGCTCCCTGCCAGGGCAGAATGAAGAAACCGGAGTGGATAAATTCAGCTCATTACATGGTCAGTTTGAACATTTTAGATATGTGAACCCCCGATAACCTACACTCTGCGAGCACCACATCATATACGGTGCGGGGTGGGGTATCATTCCCACACGGTTTCAATTTTGTCTCTCATACGGTCCTACGACTTAGTGTACAGATCTATTGCCCCGTAATTGCCCCACTCTGCCAGGGTTATGCATGTGTAATGCAAAATGAGCAACAAGAGGAACTTTCCTAGGTCTAGTTTAAGGCGAAAAAGAAAAACTGCCAAAGTCTATCCTCCGTGATTAGAGGAAAATCCTGCTGAGCGACACTTGATAGTCGTAGAGCCATAGGCTCATAAGAGCCGTTCGGCTACCAGTTTGAGGTGCACTGTCCTGGAAAATCTGCCTCCCCTTAATCGTATGAGTGATACATTGTGAAGCATATCATATCCTCTTACCCAGCAGCCCGGGGTAGAAGCTCAAGACGCTATACTCCTCGCAGTGATAAGAAGTGGAAAACAGGAAGAGGCTCTGTGCTGTATCTGCGAGTATGTCCTCACTCTGGTAGAATCTCTGCTCTCAGAGTGTTGATGTGGGGGATAACGGAGGACCTATTGCGCAGTGGGGAATAGAAGGCTAAGAGGGTATGTGTGGCACTATAGAAGTATGCAAGTAAGAATGAGAGGTAAGAGGAAAGGTAAAACAACTTCGTTCTGCACTCATCCAAACTAACGGTAAAGACATCTGTATAAGTAAAGCATGAATAATGCACTCTGATCCCTCTATTGATCACCACACCAATCTCTATCTTTCCATGTGTGCTGCCCTTTCCGCAACACCTCCCGTAATAACAAAGGAAATACATACTCCATGAATCTTCTCTGTCAATCTCTGAACCTCCACAGTGATCTATCAATCCACTGAACTTCCGCCAAACTCCCAAACCTTCCATGATATACCCCAATCAATCCACATCCTTCCAGAGCCTTCAGCACAGAGCCCGGAAGGGAGATTGGGCGTTCGTTGCAATGGTGTAGTTACTGTGTGGAAACCAGCAATTTCATAACGAAGCACTCACGGCGACGTAGTATAGCCGGGCACCGACACATACTTTATTCAATTCTAGAAATATATGCAACTATCAAAATCATCACTCCAACTTTCGTATCTTTAATTTATGCTGGGGCACCACCCCAGCCAGAAATCCCGGGGGCTTACCGTTACTTCGTATGCCGGTTGGGGGTCCTCTTGCGTATATTGAAAAAAAAAAACTTATGCCAGAATGAATAGAGAGGTGGTATACAAGTACGGTATTGAGATGCACCCTTCCCCGCAGCGGATTCCCGGGCATCGGTCACATCTAATAATTAGAAATGTGCGAAGGAATTCACAGTACCAGGTGAGACTCTTTTTTCTTTCTTTCTTTCTTTCTTTTTTCTTCAATTTTTCAATTTAAAAGGGTTAAGTCCACCGATCGATGCCAACATTCTGTACTCTCCTATACTTTCCGCCTACCCACCTTCTATGCACTCCCCCTTTCCAACGATCGAAAATGGCTCGGACGAAAAGTCCAAGAACCCAGGATACATGTTCTGCTATGTTTCAAGAGCATGGATATCAGCCGGCGGAATAGCGTTGGGAGGATATTGATGTGATCCTCCGCCGCCGATGGGAATACAGATTCCTGGTGGGATGATATGGAAGATAGTGTGCGGCGCCATGAAGGGGTTATTTGGATCTTGTAGAGCAAACCGGGAATAGCACAAAACCCAAGCGGGCATACCTAATACCTCACCACCCCCACCGGGGGGGGCATGGGTGGGTATCACACCCCGCCCTCGGCAATACCAACGGATTTTGGCGGGCAGAAACAGGAATATTCTGGGGCGAAATAACAAACACCCGATCATACCACGATACTTCCAACGAAACCCCAGCGGATTAAAAGCCTTTCGTGCCGTTGCCGTTCCTTTGTTATCCCACCAGCATTCGTTTGCTTGTGTACAGTACAGGCATGTGGTTATGGCCCTTATGGGAAATGGATTTTGCGTCCTACCTAGTAGGCATATGGCATTGCTATTAGGTTAGTTTCCTCCATCCCAGCTGCTCTTAGACATCGGACATCTGGTTTAGTATGATATGTTGTTTTTCGGTTCCATGCGGTTCGGCAAAGGCATATTCGGGGGGTGGGTTCCGCCATGGTGTGATGGTGGATAAATTTAGTTCGATCACTTCCTTGGTGGCTTACTAAGTCCCATGGTTCCCGAACACTCACACGCACCTCGTCCTTTCTTTAGAGTTCGTAGAGTATTGCTTGTTTCTATATTTTTAGCTGCCCAGGGAGGTAATTATATCCCTCCCGTGTTGTCCCCGGCAGGGACATCTCTATCGACCAGCTAGGTCCTATTTCTCCCGTTCAATTGAACTTCCTTTGTGGTAACCTCACTGTCATTGCTCTACCCTCTGGTTGTTTCCATTCCTCTCGCGATCCAACTACGTCAATGTGCTCCCCATCTTTCTCCCATATATCCTTCCTCAGATCACAGCCTTGTCACAACCCTTGGCAACTGTAGTGCGGTGCCTACCATGCTTCAAGCTAGAACATGCCAGCTCAGCAGGCGGGCGGGCCCCAATTACAGTGATAGAATTATATTTATATCCGAACTCTAGCTAAAAGAGCTCTAGATTAGGCTTCCCTATCATAAAACATCACTCGCCATCTATCGACACCTGTTAGAAAAGATGATTGCGCGTCCAGGATACAATGTCATTATGTCTCTCATTGCTCCCATTCTGTGTTTGCTTGATGGTACCGCTACATATATTTCCCTTCTCTCATCCCTCTCACCTTCTCTTCTTCAGAAGCAATAGCAAATCAATCAAGACCCTCTTCTTCTCTGATTCCGAATATCCATCAATAGTCCCAACAACACCCAATCTCCATCCAACTCGCGAAAGAAGCTTTGAATAAGTTAGATATTCATGGGGTATATGAATGCAGGGGCAAATCTGGCTACCAGAGTTATTAGTGAAATGATCAGCCGAGCGAATCCGAAGGTCGAACCAGGACCCTCATAATTGCCCACCTGTATTACGGCACTTTGCACCAGCAGCAAGCTACAGTAAGTTGGGAACGAAGTCACCACCCGGAACTACACAGTGCATCCTCAAGATATTAAATTCACTCCCCTCTCCCCTCAAACCCTCCTCGGAAGCGCTTTCTTGCCATTGCCTTTATGCTACCGGTAGCAGCTCTCTATCTCCTGTGTTTGTACCTGTTCCCGAGTACAAGCACCATGAGGTACCGGCACCGTAGACCTCACTAGTGGGTAAGTTAGCGGTGCCGAGAGGGATCCCGAATTCTCCTAAGCCGCTTAGCTAAACCCTCCAGGAACACGACCGGAATCCTGAGTGCCCTCCATCCAGTACGGTACCGGTACTCAATACTCTCATGTCTCAGTGGGTAATTCCAGCTTGTGTCACTTCCCGGTTTTGTGTCACTTCCGCGTGATTGACGTTAGTGGAATAACATTAGCTGAGCAGATATATGCACATCAGATCTAGCCAGAAGTCTTAGCGCAAGCGTTTTCAGATTTTCTGTGGTTTCCCTTCTCACCTGCTTCCCCCAGTAACAGGAAGCATATCCCAGAAGGGGCATCATTGCAAGGACCGAACGGGGTGCCCGCGAAATATTCTGGATGGATTCAAAATTGAGGTACATCAAGCAAACTTCCGCAATTGTGGAGTAGGGGCTATGGAGTAGGGTCGGATCACTTGTACGATGTTCTTGCAAAGTATAGTGTACCAGTCGGACAGCGGACGAAGACGCATCGACCGCGACAAGGCCTAGACAAGATGCTAGAAGCGTCCAAAATGCCGGAATGTTTGCCATGCCTTGGGAGTGGAGGTGGAATCTACCGATCTAGATATTGAAGAGCTCCTCAGCCCGTAATAGTCATTCCGAATACAGCACCCACATCAAGACCTTCAGTCCTAATGTTGATTTATTCCTCTTCTGTGCCTTCAATCAAGTTTGAGTTCCCATATAGGCATCACTCAATCCACTACCCTTTCTTATCTTTTCAAGTTTCTTCTCTCTCTGACAGACTGTCAGCTCCCCTAGAATTGCGATCAGTATTGACCGAGAATAGAGTGGAAATGATAAATGCACCTACATATCAGACATTGTTTCCATGATAACTCGAATAATATCAGCCTGTAAATCCTCGTTCATTGCCTCTGGGTCGACGTCCTCTTCCAACCTCATCTCCAGATAGCTCCTAATGTCGTCTGTATTAGGTCTGATGAGAATCACAACCCGCCTTGCTCAAATATCTTTGAATATCTTCCCTGACATGGGGGTCTGCCGGTGAGGGATATTTGCATCCTAGGTGACTCCTGAGCAATATCATGTAGCGACTTAAGAAATTCTGGCAGATGCCTCCATAAGGATTCATCAAGCGCGTCAATACATATGAATACTTGGGGTAGTGAAGCAATAGTAGTCCCCAACATTCTCATTAGATCCTGACCTTGCATCCCGTTGCCACCAAACTTCTTTTTTGCTTCTTGAATGGTTTCGTACAGATAATTCGGGATGTCCTCTCCGCCCACCAGCTGCTTCAGAATAGCTCCCCATCATGCTGGTGATTGTCTGCTCTTGTTGAGTAAGGAAGTCGCAGTACAGATATGCAACGAGGATATCCTCTATCCCCACCTGATCGTACAGGCTGTCAATCACTGGCGAACTAGTATTTATGACTGTCAGCAATTTTCACTCCCTTCTAAAGAATCCTGTCACTTACCTTAGATACGTCTTGCCCACCCCCCGATTCCTACTGCAAAACAAGACCGCCTTATCGGCTCCACCCTCACTACCCCTCCACTCCTGAAACTTGCTTGTTTCCAATAGCCAGTTCCCCACACCGTCAAACAGCTCGCTGCGCATGGCTTGATGTCTGCTATTTGGCTCTATTGGAGAGAGCCATCACATAATCTGCGCATCTTTGTCGGACTTGTAGATGGTTTTGTTGAAAACAACCGGTTATGTTGGCACTATGGGTATTACCATCGCCGATCTTGACATTTATAGTCACAGAGATTCTCACATCAAAAAATCTTTATTCAAGGAAACAGTAGTACATAGGGGCAAAAACAAGCAGAATAAAAAAGGACATTTTGTCCTTTATGCGGGTCACCATACCTAACTCGCTTGGTATTCTTATGCCCCAGAGGGATTCAGGCGCCGCCGTTTAGACTGAGCAAACGTCTCCTCCTCTTCCCATACCCCCGCCGTGACCATTAGCTTCTTGGCACGTTTGGCTGCCCTTACACGCTCTGTGCTCGGTATCGAACGGCTGATGAACTCCCGCAGTGCATCTAAACAAAACATTATACAATCACCCGGGTCTTGGCCCTTGGGGAGACTGTCGCCCAGGAGATCCTCCATTGTCACTCCAAATACCTTGGGGTCTCCCCCATCCACATCCGGCTCAGAAATTAGTATTGCCCTAAACGATTATTCGATGTCTCGCCCATCCTTACTCGCTCGGTAGACATGCAAGGTAGCCCTCAAGCTACTAACTAAAGGCTGCCTAAGCTCGTCCCTTCGATCAAGATCGATTAGCTTCTTAGCCAAATCGTTCAAGTTCGTTGTACTATCAATACTATCCACCACAGTTTCCTCCTCACTCATACTTTTATGTGGTTGAGTTTCCTCCTCTGGCTGCTTGTTTGAGGCCTGCAAGGAATGCTTTATGGTGCTTTCCGTAAACGAAACGATGATCACAATTCGGGTCTGGCCATCGGTGTGGAGAAGCCAGAGGCGCGCGTCATCCATCAACTTCCCATGTCCTTCAGCCCAACCCGCCTCGCACACTACACGGGGAAACTCTGCATCGCGCAGCTTCACATATGCATCTGGAAGCTTTTCGGATGATCCAGTCCAATCGCCCTCGAACCCGGTAAATGCTAGAAACAATTAGCAAGATCAAAAAACCACAGTAAAAACTCGTGTTATCCACTATCTCTGCCAGACACCTAATCTCCATGAGCAGAGACAAAAAAGGCTCCTAAGAAGGATTGGTGTTTCCCTTATACAGGCAAGCCTGTACTCACGAGGCCAAGTTGAAGTGGGACACCTAAAGAGGCAATTCCTAAAGAAGGGGTCCAACTTCAACTCGGACGCATGGGTATTCTGAGTTTGCTTGCACTTATTGACTGGTATTCGCAATTCTGTTAACCTGTCAAACCAAACCTATGATAGAATGATGTAGGGACTTATAGAGATTAGAGGTCAGGCGGAGATAGTGGATAGCACGAGTTTATAAGGTAATTGTTCAATCACATACTTGTGCCTGAACCAACTGTAACCAATCTCGTAGCCTGTGACACCCCCAGTTTTTCACCGAGGGATAGTAAAACAGTTTCATTAAAAAAAGATTGCAAGGAGTCATGCGTTGCCAGTGGCATGCATTTAATTGCGAGGCTTTCAGCGAGAAAATTGTATTCATGCCGTATTTCCGTGCTTTCAACAACTTGTAGATATTTCTCCTTCCATCTCTGGAGAGCTTTGGGCGAAACATGGGGAAAGATTAAGCTGCCTTCGGCGCTTGCAACTGCAATATCCGCTCGTGAAACAAGTCTCTTAGGCTTGAGGGTGGTTCCATAACAGTAAACGGTCTTGGTTGGGTAAGGCAAGGTACTCGATCAATATCTGTAGCCGTAACAGTCGGTATAAGAAACGGAGTTTAGGGAGGGATCGGGATCGCAGAGAGTTTTTTTTAGGGGAGGACAGAGGTAGCTTTTTGAATCGGTGTCGTTTTTCTGGTGACTTCCAGAAATTGGCAACAGCTCTTCTTCCATCATTATGACGGGCATACCCGGCCCCCCACGGAGAAAAGCTGCCACCTGCCACCCTGTCTACCCAGGGATTGACTCCCGGATCCCATGGGCCCAAGTCATAACCTTCACCGAGACCCCACATATTCATAATGTGTTCGATAAGGGTTTTGTGTCAATTGACAGACGAAGTAGAATTGGGAAAAATAAAAATCAACAATAGTGATAGGTAGTAGATGGGGTAAGGAAAATGGGGAGAAGGGAATGGGAATGGGGACGGAGAGGAGAAGGGGGAGGAAGGAAAAGGCTGTTTTCAGAAGTATATACGTATGCATTTCCACTAACTAGTTAACCACCGAAACATCGTACCTGGTTGAACCGTAAGAAAATAAGGTGAAGTGGCACAGTCGCGGAAGCCGAACAAAGTCTGGGTGAGAGATCGAGGACACCTCGAAAAGCAAGGTAAGTACTCGAGTACATTAAATTTACGCCAAACAAACCTCGGCACCTGCCAAGTGCAGGCTATCCCTTCGTTCTTTTTCAAGAACAAAGCTAACTAGAGTGCCGGCTCCCCAGTGCATAGTCTACCCGAGTAAATCGAAGTTAGATGTCAGAAGTCCTACTCGTGCCAGGGTTGCAGCTAAGATGCTGCAACCCCCGAAAATTCGCTTGCTCAGCTTTCGGGGGCACTCATCCTGAGTGCCCGACAGCTCAATAGAGGGTTTGCGCCCAGAAACCTAGGTGCCAGTTAACCCATTTGAGACCTAGGTTATAGAAAGAGTTTGCGCATACTGTCCAGGTGGCCTGAAACCATAGTTATGTCAAACTACCACAATAGTAACGTAATATCTTTAGTACAAGAAAAAAAAATGACATTGAAGTAGATTAACCGGTAACAACATCAGACGATTATCATACCTTGAATACAAAGCCAGTCAAAACCATGCTTGCCCAACAGTTCCTACGGAAAAGGAATACCCGCAGAGTTGTTCTGCTACAACAGCTTCATCTAACGATCTCTCGAGATACTAGCTGGAAAAGAGGTGCGATACAGGAAGGAGGAAGATTGAATTTGGATACTTTAGAAGAAGAAGAGTGGAGAAACCAATTCCGATATGTGTTAGCCTAATCAATATGTAAATAGTTAATATAATAGAAGAGAATATCAAATAGAAAAGATACTTACGAGTAAAAGATTTACCAGAATTGAAGTTGAGGAGCTAGTGGAGGTACTTCAACTTCTAAATCCTGTTCGAGCGGACAATCGAATTATCGAAGATCGGAGAACAGCCTTGTGCATGCTTCTAGCACGTCTTGCATATCCAAATCGATTATGTGATCTTGCCTAGAAGTTCAGTTGGCCTATTGAGCGAGTATCACGTATCAGTACCGTGACCCAAACGATCATCCATGAGAAATGGCCGCACTTACTCATGTGGGATGTGCAGCGCCTGACTCCAGAACGATTAGCCTTATATGCCCGTACGATAGAGCGGAAAGGAGCACCAATTGGAACTGTATGGGGGTTCATCGATGGTACGATCCGTGGTATTGCCCGTCCAACACAGGATCGGAGAACGTGTGACAATGGATGGAAGAGGAAGCATTGCCTGAAATACCATGCAATTGTGACTCCGGATGGGCTTATTAGCCACTTGTTTGGTCCTGTAGATGGTAGACGAAATGATGCATTCTTATGGCAGGAGTCAAACCTACCAAACCTTCTTAAACGACATGCACGAGCACCTGATGGTACACACCTTCAGGTGTATGGTGACCCTGCATATAGTATAAATAGTATTATTTTATCACCATATCAGGGGGCTCAGATCACGAATGATCAAAAGCAATGGAATCGTGCAATGTCTCGGCTTCAAATTGTGGCAGCGTGGGCTTTTAAGGAAATGGTAAATACTTTTGGCTTTTTGGACTACGTGAAAAATCAGAAACATTTACTTCAGCCTGTTGGAGTACAGTTTCGAGTTGCTGCACTTCTTCATAACGCACATGTATGTTTATATAAACCTCAAATCACTCAATATTTTAATATTGACAGAGATGAGATAATTTATCAAAACGAATTGGTTGAGGAAGGACTTTTAGAACCTCCAATATTGTCAGCATATTTTTATAACTAATTTATTTTATCAATATGTACATAGTTTTTGAAATTAAATTTCACCATCCTTTCGCAAAGCTTCTAAAATCATAGCTAACTCTTCCTTTCTAGCCTCTCGTTCAAGATAAGCATCATGGGACCGCCGCTCACTTTGTTCCCGAATCTCCTCTGTAAGTCCAAGAATCCCTCTCATAAGATCCTCATGCTTCTGATCCTGTTTTGCTCGCAACTCTTCTAACTCCTCCTTATCCTCCCTCATTCCTGCCATAAACTCATCTAATAGTCCCTCTATTTGTTTTACTCCTCCATTCTTAGGCCTCTTTGTTGGTGGTACAGGAGTACTACCAACTACCGCCCCTCCCTGATCTCTCTCCTCCTGTCTTCTCCGCACTAGTCCCTGCATTGAATCCTCCCTCACCCTCTTTCCATCAAGCTCTAGCTGTGCGGCCTTTTCTTGTGCTAACTTGCGAGTGGTGGGATCAATACTACTTTGATCCCACCGCGTTGTGAGCTCAACCATATTTTGCTCAAACTATCCGAATTCTTTATTTGTCCCACTCTTTTGAAGTGATCGGAGTTCGTTTTTCTATTTTTCTACCTTGTAAGTTTCTTGATACTAGTATACCTTATGGCTAATTTATACAAAGAATCAATTTTACTAACCTTATAGATATCCACAAGCTTCTTAACTCGTTGCCGACAAGACTCCGCACTGTGAACTATAGGCTGAGGCTGCAGTTGGGCAAGTACTCCAGAGACCTCTGCCCATTTTGCAACTGTTCTACCTCGTCCACAGTTAATTGGGTCGGTTGCTAACACCTGGCGGACAAGGGCAGAGTCCATCCAGCCTGCCCACTTTGCTGCCCGTCCAGCTCTGCCAGGTCTCGGGCCCAGTATATCTCTCTGTGGTTCGGGTGTCCCACCAGCAGGACATGAAGGATCTTCTGATGCTGGAGGAGATGCTGGCATAGGACTATCAGGTATTGTAATTGAATTACTCGCAATAGGTGGTTCGCTCTCGTTCATTTTGTCTGGATTTGCTGGCTTTTCTGTTGTCGTTTCTCCTTGTTTTTAGTTTTGCGCTTCACCTCTTTTCACTTTTTTTTTTTTTTTCATCTTAGTTACCCTACAGAATTCTCCAGGTGCCTCAAGCTACATTTTAGATCCTGGCCAGGTCCCCGTCCAGACCTAGGTGGCCAAGACAAATTGAATAACATATATTCATCGATTTAACTGGCACCTAGGTCCTGCTGCGCAAACCCTCCAATGAAAGATTGCAGCTCAACGAAAGATTGTAGCTCAATGCAAGATTGTGGCTCAATATTGTGGCTCGACATAATATTGTGGCTTCGCTTCGTGGCTCAATACAATTTGTGGCTCAATAGAACATTGTGGCTTATTGAAACTTGGTGGCTCAATAGAATTATGTGGCTTAATTATTGTCATGAGCCGCAAAACTGAGCCACAAACTGGTGTCGAGCCACAATCTTTCGTTGAGCTGCAATCTTTCATTGAGCTGTCGGGCACTCAGGATGAGTGCCCCCGAAAGCTGAGCAAGCGAATTTTCGGGGGTTGCAGCGTCTTAGCTGCAACCTTGGCACGAGTAAGCCTTGCATGCCCGAGGCAATGCCTGAGAAAAGCAAGCAATACGCGATGACACAAAATTCTTGCTGTGAAGTAGTTTTCTTCCCTCTAAAATGTTAGCCAAGAGTTCTATACGTAGTAACTTCTAACTTCCAACCCCCATTCTCAGGTGGGGCACCGTCACTCTACTCTGAGACTGAAGGAAACTTCTTGCCATCTATGTTACCATTAGTAAGCAACAAATAAGTTCATTACTAGAACTTCACAGATGTGCACACTTCAGGATGCCCATTACTACAGGTACGGTGAGAACAAATGAGAACTAAATCACAGTCGTAGCCCAAAGCATCTGCTGTCATAGATGGCAAGAGGGGTGGTGAGATTTTAAATAATTGATGCAACCATCTCACCTAAACGGGCATTACTAGTAGAGGAGCACATTCAACACTCACTAAAATCACTAAAAGTGTGTGAAAACCGGGACGGCTTAAGGGATACAGTAGGGACTTTGCGAAAAGACTCTGGATGTGGGTCAAACAGGGTTCTGGGCCAATGGGATCGCTAGAATTTGACTCTGGATGCGAAATCGCAAAGTCTCTACTATACGTACCGCTACGGTACTACAAGCACAATGTTCGAAAGCGCATTTTTGGGTGGGTGGCGGTTCGTTGGCTGGGAAACCAGTGCTGGCAAGTACAAGCGAAACCATGCACGATAGGGTACATAGGACATCTAAACCTCGGACCGATCACAAGCTAAGGCTCTTTCCCGTAAAAACAAACAACTACGACCCTACTCGTAGACTACCGGCATTCTCTATCTCCAGTTTGTCGGAACCTGCGAACTAAACCTTCTTTCCCCTCCTCTTATTCCCCTTGCTTAAAGTCCTCAGTTCTACATACCCCGAGAACAAACAATGGCTCCAGCACTTCCGACAGCCGTTCCAGCACCAACCGGAGCACCGGCCAAACCGCCCCCAGCCCAGCCCCCTCGTCGCAAGAGAAAGAACCGAACTCCGGTAATTACTAGGCTGATAGTCGATGATCTTCGCGGTGAGGTAGCCTATGTGTCGGAGGATATTTGGCGCGATGTCTTCGGGTTTGTGAAGCAGGAGCCCAAACCGCAGCCTGAGCAGGAAACTGTGAACGGGATTCCGGTAATGGGCGGGCCTGCAATGGTGATCGTTGATGATGGTGAGCGCTAGATCCACTTGTGAAGACAGGTGTTGACCCTTCGGAACGCGATAGATGAGGACGACGAACCCATTCCCCCTACACTACATGCTGCCGTTACCCCTTTAATATCTTCACGAGAAACCGCTACGAAGAAATGGACCATCTTTCCGGTTACCTTCCTTCCAGGAAGCTCTCAATTTCCCGGGCTCCCGCCGGCGACTATGATGCTTCCACGTACCATCGCTCTTCCACCATCTCTCGCAGCCGCTGGTGAAATGAGCTCGAAGCCCTTTGGGGTGCTATTGATAGACGTGGTCCCAATTGGCCTTGAGAGAGTGTTCGTTAACGTTCGATTCCCAATGGGGACCCCGGTGGAGGACGACCAGGATTTGGAAGATCGCGTGAAGGAATCTCTTGGTTCTGCAAAGCTAATTCGAACGGGTGATGACCTCCCGCTGAGATATGCGCATGGAAGGGTTGAGAGAGGGAAAGCCAGGATCGAACTCTGTGAGCCTGTTGAGCAAGGATTACTTTTACGGGAAACTAAGGTTGTGGTTGTCAAGGAGAAATTATCAAATACACGGAGACGAGGTCTAGATGACATCGACGGAATTATCTTGGACGGCGAATGTGAGGATAGTGGTGGGGTGTCCTTATCTGGGGAAGATGGCGCGACGGGCAGTGACGAGGACGAGGATGACCCGTTAGCATTCTCGGGCTTTCTGTCCACACCTTTAACCTCTAGCAGTCTTTCATTCCCTTCAATTTCTACTACTCCGCATTTACGGAACGGTTACCATTCCCCAAACACCCTTGCCTCACCAGCTCCCACTAGCACAAGCAAAGAGTTCACTACCCAGCCTCTAACTAGACCCATACCATCCGGCCTGCTGCATCCAAAACCGAAGGAACAAGACGATGATGAAGCTAGGGCATTCATCAAAGTTGGTGATTTAGCAAAGTTGGGCTGTTTCTCTGGGGATTGGGTTCGGGTGTCTCTACCTGCCCCTCCACTGACGGATACGTCTTCCCCAACTCTTACCAGAGCAGCGGAGACCGTGGCCCGGGGGCGCGGATATGGAACGACTATCAGCCCCCGGACTGTGAATTGTAGTAGGCCAGGCTCCAGGGCTTCTAGAGATCTCTCTGCAATGCGAGGTGATGGGGGATCCGACTTGGAGGTTGGGCGCCCGGTCAAGATTTACTCCCTTCCAGAAGGCTGGGAGACTTCCGGCCTGTCCGCCAAACGCCGAAGGGTAAGCGGGAAAGGTAAGGAGCTTGCCATTGATGGGGACTCTAGGAAGGAGTTTAACCCAATTGTCTACCTTTCCCCCGTCCTCCTCGCAAACCTAGCGTCATCTTCTCCAACCACAACTGTTCCCGAGGTGATTCTTTCGCCATTCCCTACAGCCCCTACTTCTCTATTAAGCCCAGCCCCCCTGTTTCCCCCTGCCGCAAAAGAAGTCACTCTGTTACGAATAGCATCGCCCATCTCTACAGACAGGGCTCTTCAGCCTTCACTACTTTTACAACTGAAATCATATTTTGAATCTTGCAGGAGATTGGTTCGAAAGGGGGACGTGATTGCTGTGGGAATTGATGAAGCCCTTGCACGGAGTCTTTACGGTGGTGATGCCGGAGACGGTGTAACAGAGGAACTATTGACCGGGGGAGTAGAAGAAAAGGGAAGCAGAAGAACTTGCGTCGCATGGTTCAAAGTAGGCAGTATTGGCCCATCAGAGGAAGCCCCCGAAAAGAGCCCAGTTGGGAGGAGAACGGCAGATAAGAAAGATAAAGAGGATGATAGCATCTGGGGCGGAGTAGTATTTGTTGATCCAGCGAGCACTCGCATGGTTCAGGCTGGGTCTGAGAGGCGAAAGATACCACCTACCATCAGCTCTACTTGGGAGTACTATCTTGGACTGCATCCGCCCCCTCTACGATTGGCCGCCGTTCAAGGAGTTCCACCGGCGTTGATTGCGCCAGGACGTTGTGTCAATCAGACCCAGCGACGCCTGAGAGAATTGGTTTCTGCGGCTACCTCGCAGAGAGCTATTCAATTAGGGTTGCAATCGATCGCTATTCTATTAACAAGTACTCAAAGGTCCATTGGCAAACGAACACTAGCAATGAGAGCCGCGGCTGACGTTGGAGTGCACGTTTTCCATATAGACGCCTACGACATCATCTCCGATGGTGGTGCCGGGGACGTAAAGACAGAGGGTTTTTTGCGGGCCAGAGTTGACAGGGCACTCTCCTGCGGTAAAGAGAGCTGCGTTCTACTACTCTCTCACATCGAAGCCCTTACAGCGGCACGAATGGGGGAAGTATTGAAAGACATTGTGGGCCAAATGCGTATCGTGATCGCGACAACGACAGAAGTTGACAAATTATCAGAGAACATCCGTAACGTCTTCACCCACGAGATGGAAGTCGGAGCTCCAGACGAAAATGAGAGGGTGGGGATCCTGGAAGGAATAGTAGACGAGCGAAGAGTCCGCCTAGGAAAAGAAGTCGACCTAGGAAATATCGCTGTTAAAACAGCCGCTTTGGTAGCCGGAGATCTCGTCGACGTGGTCGAGCGCGCGGTCGCAGCATCTCAAGACCGCATTCTAAGACTTGCGAAGAAATGCCGCGTTCGTCAAAAAGACCCTAATTCCCCCGAGGGTCCCGTCTCAGTCAAGGACTTGGAAATAGCCGGCGGTGACGAAACCACCAGCGTTCTAAAGTGCGACTTCGAAGTAGCTGTCGAAGCTGCGCGCAGGAACTTCTCCGACTCGATTGGCGCACCAAAAATTCCGAATGTGGGCTGGGACGATGTAGGAGGTCTCGCAAATGTAAAGAGCGCCGTCATGGAGACAATCCAACTCCCGCTTGAGCGACCAGAACTCTTCGCAAAGGGGATGAAGAAGCGCTCCGGAATATTATTCTACGGACCTCCCGGAACAGGAAAAACGCTACTAGCGAAGGCGATCGCCACAGAATTCTCCCTCAATTTCTTCTCCATAAAGGGGCCTGAACTACTAAACATGTACATCGGTGAATCAGAAGCGAACGTCCGGAGAGTTTTCCAGCGCGCCAGGGATGCACGGCCTTGTGTTGTCTTCTTCGACGAACTGGACTCTGTCGCGCCGAAAAGAGGGAATCAGGGTGATTCCGGGGGTGTCATGGACAGGATTGTTTCCCAGCTGCTCGCAGAATTGGATGGCATGAGCGAAGGTGCGGAAGGCAGCGGTGGCGTATTCGTCATTGGAGCAACCAATCGACCGGATTTGCTGGATGCAGCACTACTTCGACCCGGGAGGTTCGACAAGATGCTGTATCTGGGTGTTTCGGACACTCACGATAAACAATTGACCATCATGGAGGCTCTCACTAGAAAGTACACCGTCCCTCCATTTCCCTCTCCTTCCCTTCACTAACCAGCAACACAGATTCACCCTCTCCCCAACCCTTTCTCTCCGCGGCATATCTGAAACCCTCCCCTTCACCTACACAGGAGCAGACCTGTACGCCCTCTGCTCCGATGCAATACTCAAGGCAATCACGCGACAAGCCAACCTCGTCGACGAAAAAATAAAGCGCTTATCCGCCATCTCTGAGGAGTCTGTTTCTACAGCTCACTTCTTCGACAGCATCGCTACCCCCGAAGACGTTCTTGTCGTAGTTGGCGAAGAGGACTTTTTACAGGCGAAGAACGAATTAGTAGGCAGTGTTAGTGCCAAGGAGTTGGAGCACTACCAGAGGGTTAGAGAGCAATTTGAGATGGCGGAGGAGAATGAGAAAAATAAGGGGACAGGCAAGGGGAAGGCTATCAAAGAGGCGGTGGTAGAAGAGGAGGAAGAGGAGGCGCCAGTAGTAGATAGGAAAGGAAAAGGAAAAGTAGTAATGGTGGATAGAGATGCCGGCGTTGAAATCGAAGATGTAGGGATGCAGCTGAGAAGTCGGTTGGAGATCGTGCCTGAAGAGCAGGAGTGGGAAGATGGAGCTGAAGGAGACGAACAAGATCTTTATGGCAGCGGGGCGTAATGCCGCCGCGGACGTAAAAGTAGTTTAAACCAGAGCAGCTGTCGATGGTCCCAGCGGGGTCCTGCATTCTTCTTATATAGCAGCGCCGTCCCAGGAAATTTACGGATGAAGAATGGTTGTGAGTGATAGTGTGTGAATGGGATAGGTGGGAAACGTTATTGATCTCAGAGCAAGCTTGATTTGGACATTGTACTTTACTGTAAGATTATCCTAGAGAAACACTATTCCATAATACCAGTGCCAATTTCCCATTTGAGTGATAATCACTTCCGAGTAGTGAGACTACTACCATAAATCCTGACCACCTCCCCCATCACACCACAGTATCCGGAGCAAAACATTAAGCAAAATAATAACGATTGTGCACGCCCACCCTCATCACTCAAAAATCCTCGATATCCTCCACCTCTTCCCCATCCCCCTCCCGCACAAGCTCCCTTCCACTCCTCTCCCCCTCCCCGCCAACCTTCCTCCGTCTCCCTCCCGCACCAGGTCCCGGGCCACCACCAGTGGTCGTTGGAGGTTCTCGGGGCCCGACCCCCAGACAGTAAGGTCTTGAGTATACGAGTGCTACAGGACTAGTAATTGGCGATGTGACGTCCTCCGGTGGTGGATGCGGCAGCTTCTTGTGCTGATGCTGTTGTTGCGTGTGACTCTTGTGTTCCTTTCCACGCGCCCGAAATGGTGCCGCTCCCTGTAGATTATCCCCGTTGTGTTCATATGGTGGTATAAGGAATCTTTGTGAGGGTCTTTTGGACTTCTCGGGTTTTTTTGTGGGGGTTGGCTCTGGAGCTTTTGACGTTTCTAGGGAGGGGGGGCTAGGGAGGGAGTCAGTATTTATCCCCTGGTTCTCGTATTCCCCATGTTCCACTACGTCAAACGGTGAGGATTTGAACAGGTCTGAGGATGCGGCTAGAATCTTTTCAAGCCATTCGTTTTGTATGAATAGTTCTGTGGATATTATTACTCAGTTTAGCAATTATCCCCTCGTGGACTGTGCGAATACTTGTGGAAACTTGCCCTGATCCTCTACGGTGCTGTCGAGAGAATCTCGGATATTATTACACTCTGCTATGTTGTGCTTGGCTTGTCCGTTCTCCGTTCGGCCTGGGCGATCATATGCAGCAATGCAGCTCAGTTGTGCGTGGAGTCTAGGATCGTCCGTTGTCAACCCAACCGCCTCGGCGGAGGTCTCTTCATGGGCAATGGTGGAAGCCACGTAAATAGTGTCTAAAATATCCCCCGTGTCTTCATCTGTGGCGGTAGCGCTTTCCTCGTCCCACTCACTGTCAGTGTTTTCTGGGGTATCTTTCACGCTATCTTCGCCAGAATCCAGGGACCCTGGATCAGCGCTTTCTCTATCGTGGCCGAGCGAATGGTCATCTTGACCCATCTCCATCTCAGATTCTTCTACCTCGGAATCCACAACCCCCTCTATTCCACTGTCATCCAGGTTCTCCATTCTTAGAGATTCCTCACGCCTACCCTCCTCGCCCTCCCCGGCGGTCTCGTGTATCATTTTCTCAGTTCCTGGCATCACTCCAACTTGACTTTGAGTTCCATTGGCACTACCCACAGAAGGATCAAGATTTAGGAAGTTCTCACTGGAAACTATCCCACTAGCTATCTCGTCAAATGACTGTTCCCCTTGGTGTTGGTAAGGCTGGCGTTCTGCAGGTGATGTACTCCAAGAAACTTGTGATGGCCCAGGCGTAGCACTTATCATCTGGGCGCGTCCCAGGGCCTCTTCCCCCCGGAATTTCTTGTCAATCGGGCTTTCGATGCCAGCAATCCTACTGAAATCATACTCCGTTGCCCTTTTTGCCCTTGAACAAAAGCATTCCTTCCCGTGGGCGCCAGGACTATGTCGTACTACTATAGTCGAATGAACCGAATTACTAGGAATAGGGGAAGATGCTCGCTCAACCTCCTCGATCAGTCGATCACCCTCGCTAACCTCTCCCAGCTCCCCATCGAGCGGTCTGGGGACCCGATTACCCCTCCGACGAGAATACCGTGTTAAAGGCGATGAGGAATAACCTTTTTGCTGAACTTCCCGACGTTTCTGTTCAACAATATCGGACACTGCCGGGGTAATGTGCCGAAACTGGAACATTGGTTCATGTCTATAACAATCTAGCAACATTGTATCCACTGATGATCCCCGAATTGTAGTAGAGTCGATCTCCGTAGACCGGCTTGCGGATTCTGCGGATCTTGTAGGATTAGTTGCAGTAGTCGATGATCTTTGGGTCGAACCCCCGATATGTATATAAATATCTTCACTATGCTCTGGATATTCTGGCAGTTCTGGGGTGTCGTCACGCTGAATCATTCTTCTCCTATTCTCGTGCCCGATAGATATTGCCCCTTGTCTACCGTCGTTTTGTAAGGTGCTACTATCATCATCATCATCATCATCTCCCTCTTCCTCTTCAGAACTAGTGGAACCGGACGAACTGGTCTCGGTAGCATCCCGATGAGAGTTTGTCTTGAGCTTCCTCATTTCTTCCCTGCTCTTCAAAACCAACGGTTTTGATAAGGCCGTGCACACCCAGTCTTCCCTCTCCAGTAGAATCCTTCTTCTTGCCCTCCTAATATTCTCCTCCATCTCCTTTCCACCCCTCTTCCCACTATCCCTATCGATATGCAAAGGCGGAGAAGAACCCCTTCGAGTAGTCCCTCCATGATCAGTCCTTGCCTTCTTAACCACAATATCAAACTCGGGTGTCATTCGGCTCTTCCGCTTGAACACGTGGGGAAGATTTCCTTGCGAAGAAGGTACCGCAACAGTTTGGGCCGCGGCGCGGACCTTGGCAAAGTAGCGTTTCTGGAGACGGGACGTTGTAGCGGTTTTGATGGCACAATTACGGGTGCCTCCCGTCCAGTTCATGGCCATCCCGGACTCGAGGGTGAATAATATGGCATCAGATATTCTGTTTCCAACGGGACATACTGGTATCCTAAATACCGGTAGCCCGAACGCCCATATCCGCTAAGGGCCGCGGTTACGTAAACACGGGTCGGGTGGCCAAAAATTTGCTTCTTTTTGGATGGAGAACTGCCAAATGGTTACCACAAAATGACAAACTAAGGGAATAATACTTTATGATAATGGTAAGAGTGATTTCCGAGTGACAACCTATGATCCGAGCATGCCCTCCTTTGCAACGGTACAGTAATTTACAGCATAATATTAACACATACGCACCCAACCCCAGATTTCATACAGACTGGGAGAAGGATGTTAGCCCTTTAGAGTGCTCAAGAAGTTCTTCTCCCGAATTCCCTTCCTTTGGGCCTTCCTCAAAGCTGTTCGAATTTCTAACCGTGCTTTGTGGGCTTCTAGCGGCGTAACATGAACATCCTTCCCAATCTCTACAGCTGCCGGCCTCAATCCTCTTGTGCCCGGAGCGGCCGGAAGTTTATTAATAAGACCTCCCATAACAGATACAACCCTAACAAATGGCTCAGCGGCCGGTCGGGTAATGGAGTTGGGGGCCGTCGGCTCCGGTACTGTCGCAAAGGGAAGATCGATAGATTGATGGTGGGGAGGTATGCGGGCCTCTTTGTTTCTAGCCTCTGTGCGGGCAACCTTCTCGGCCTGTTTCTTCGCGAGATCACGTTGTTTTTTCGATTTAGCTAAGAGCAGATTAGTAACTGTTGGGCCGAGTAGAAAAAAGACCGTAAATCGTCGGTATTCTTACAGTAGGCATCACCCGCCGCCGCCGAACCGCCACCGGTGCTAGCCTTATTATCGAGCATTAACCATAGCCATTCCGGATACTCCGAGTCCTCCTTTGCGATAGGATCTGATCTGTTTTTTAGAAAGTTGATGTTTTTGAGGACTGTTCCAGCAGGGGTCCCGCTCTTTACTCGAGGTTTACCATCGGCTGTAACAGAGGACCTATAAGGAGCAGGTTCTAATGATACGGGTTCGGCGGATGGGTGAGGCGCGGAATCTCGTAGTGGTTGGGCGGTGATGAACGACCGGGAGGTGGGAAAAATGAGTGGTAGGCGGGAGGATGATCGTATACATCGAGTAGAAAGCATTTCGAATGCCATTGGCGTGGAGGGGCCCGGATATCTTGCTTTCCAAGGGATCTGATGTTGAGGAGAAATTAGAGGCGGGGAAGACGTCCAGGCGAGGAAATGCGGCGGGGCAGCGAATGTTTCAGTCCAGCACACAGCTCCCAGCGCCTCCCGTCACATTCTGTATGATACGAGTACGATAATACGGTAGTCTAATTGGGGCAGAAAGCCCAGCGTTAGCTGAGGCCCGCCTGCATGAAGACCCGAAAACCTTTGATATTTTGCCTGATTCTGAATTGTGGAAGGGTGGGAAGAAAGGGTTGCGCTTGATGGGGAGTTTTATTTCTTATGTAATGAAAAACAGGATTAACTTTCCAGCGGGTGGGGAGGACTTTCCTTATACGAGATTGGCCAATTTGGCTTCATGATTTATGAAATGTTTTCATTGATGCGCAGAATGAGGTGATTACTATTGGACATTGGTTTTTTCAGGGGGTGGAGTTTCATTTGTACAGTACAAGGGGTTTTTAGGCCATGCCTTAGGGTGCTTGCCATGGATTTTCCTGTAGTTAGCTACGAATAAACCGCGGATTTAACAAAAAAATAATAATAATAATTGGGGCAGAAAGGGTGACTGCGTGCAGCGTTCTCTCTTGGCATTGACCCTTTATTGACCCTAAGGAGCCTCCTCGCGCACACATGCCCAACAGGGACGGTGGGTGTTACCCTATCAAACTTGCTTGATCCAACTCTCCAACGTCTCCTCTCCCTCCCTCCTTCTCTCTTCCCCGCCGCACACACTCCCCCCATCTCTCAAGACAGAAGTTGTGTTGACGCTTTGCAAATCTGAGGCATTCAATTCGGTTGGCATTTGGCTGTTCCATTACCGAGGGCTTTGATCTTATCTATACTGTTGGTATTTCCAACAAGTTGATTTGTGGGCACTGAGGGCTTCTGAGGGTTATTTCGTGGCTTTACGCACTCAAAAAATAGGGTTTTATAGTCACTTTGGGCGCAATCTGAGGGCATTACATACTCTGAGGGCTACTGAGGGCACATTCAAGTACGGTACCAGAGAACTAGAGGCGTTTTACGTCTGATCTGTTTTCTCTCTAGGGTATTTTTTTTTTTCTTTGGGAAAAAAAAAAGCGGAAAATTTTCTCTACCCCCTCCCGCCATTCCCATCTTATCCACTTTCTCCCCCAAAAAAATTTTCACCCCCCCCCCTTTCTCTAGAGAACATAAGGTTAACTTCCTAGAATCTCCAGTTCTTATCCTTTCTATTCTGCATCAATTCCCCTCCTTTCCCACTAAACGATCGCATCCACAATGGCCAAGGAAAAACCCACCGCAAGGCCTAGCGCCAATGGAAAGACAAACAGGAAGGATGTTTTGAAGTCAGTCAAGTTGGCCGCCGTGGCCAAAAAATCCACCAAACCCACCGATCCGAAGGAATTTGCCCAAGGGGCTGTTGCCGTACTCTCGAGTAACAGGAAAGCGACTGAGCTGAAAAAACCCGCTCGGTCTAAGAAGGTTACCGAGCTAAACAAGTCCACTCAAGCTAAGAAGGTTACCGAACCTAAGAGGAAAGCCAAGGCCCCCACCCCATCGTCCTCTGAGTCTGAAGATAGTTCTGAATCTGAGCCTGGTTCTGGATCCGGTGATAGCGAATCCGAGTCCGAATCCGAGGTTCAGCTTAGGAAGCCTGTTAAAAAGACCGAAGTCAAGAAGGCTGAGGTGGCGGGTGTCAAGAAGCCTGAGACCAAAAAAATTGTCACTAAGAAACCTGAACTAGAGAAGGCCATCGCAAATGACTCTTCTAGTTCTGGGTCCGATGCATCACATAGCGATAGCGATAGCGACGGTGACGGCGATAGTGAGAGCGATAGCAATAGCGATTCTGGAAAAGAAGCGCCAAAGGCTAAAGCTGCAACGAAAAAGGCCATGCCCGCTCCTAGCTCTGATAGCGATTCTGATTCCTCCTCCGACCCTGATTCCGACGAAGAGGAAGCAGCTGTTTCCAAGAAGGCCACTCCTGTTAAGGTTGTCAATGGCGCTAAGAAGACTGCGAAGGTATGAATATTCACGATATTGATATCAAAATATGTGACTAACTTACGACAGGTGGCCGAGTCATCGTCTGAATCCGAGAGCGACTCCGACTCCTCGTCCGATTCTGATTCCGATTCTGATGCCAGGGTTAAGTCTATCAGGAATGCTGGCTCTGATTCAGAATCATCCGACTCCTCTGATTCCGAATCAGATGCGAAGGTTAAGTCTACTAAGAAGGCTGGCGCTGATTCTGATTCATCGTCCGAGTCTGGTTCAGATTCTTCCGATTCAGATTCCGACCAAGCAGGATCTGACTCCAAGAAGCGCAAAGCTGCCATTGAGGCCGAGCCTACTCCAAAGAAGGCTAAAACTGGGTCTTCCACTGAACAGGGTTCCAAGAATCTTTTTATTGGATCATTGTCATGGAACGTTGATGAGGATTGGTTGAGGAGCGAATTCGAGCAATTCGGTGAGATCGCCGCCGTGCGCGTCGTCTCTGATCGTGAGAGTGGCCGTTCTAGAGGGTACGTTTTGACCTACTCATTCATTTCATTTATCTATCATCCATTCCTATTCTAACTCTCCGCAGGTTTGGGTATGTCGAATATACTACCCATGAAGCTGCTAAAAAGGCCCTTGAGGAGATGAAGGGCAAAGATGTAGATGGCCGCACCATCAACGTTGACTTCTCTACCCCTCGCCCGGAGAACCCTCGTCAAGACCGTTCCAAGTCGTATGGCGACCAAAGGAGCGCCGAGTCTGACACCGTGTTTGTTGCCAACTTGAGTTTCGAGGCCGACGAGCAGATCGTTCAAACTGAGTTTGAAGGATTTGGAAACATTGTTGGATTGAGAATTCCAACAGATATGTGAGTTTACTGTGCATATATATGGGCTCTGCAAATACTAATATTGGTTTCTTTAGCGAATCTGGTCAACCTAAGGGTTTTTGCTATATCCAGTATGACAGTATTCATTCTGCTCGTAAAGCTGTTGAAGAAATGAATGGTACTCTCGTTGCTGGTAGAGCCATTCGCACTGATTTCTCTACTCCTCGTGATCCGAGCGCTAGCGGTGGCCGCAGTGGTCGTGGCGGGTTTAGTGACCGCGGTGGGCGTGATGGCGGCCGTGGCCGCGGTGGTCGCGGCGGTCGTGGTGGTGCCCGTGGTGGTGCCCGTGGTGGTGGCCGTGGCGGTGGCCGCGGCGGGAGAGGGGGGTTCCAATCCCAAAACCGCGGTGGCTTTGGAGACTTTCAAGGGAAGAAGCAGAAGTTTGAATAAGTTCCAGAAGCTTATCAGGCCGCACGCTTGAGTTTCATGGTGACCCAAAACGGTCTGTGGGCTCTATAGTATCTTGTGGGTGACTGGGGGCTTGTGGGTTTTGTTCCGTCCTGTAAGGGATTATTTCCGTGGGCTTCTGTGTCATAATGTGGGATTTGTTGGCTCTTTGCTTGCCTGGTGTCTCGCTTGCTATGCCGGGTTCAAAAGTTTTGCGTTTTATTTCCTTATCCTGGAGCTTCTACGATGGATGTTTACATATGTTTATCTTCCTTTGGTGGTACCCTTATCTATCGGAGTGCCTACTATAGACAGAATAGGTTTACTGCGATATCCTACTATTGGAATCTGTATAATATATAGCGTTTTTCGGGATCAATCCAACCGCGAGACCGCATTTGGGATTGAGCTATCATATCGAGTGAGAGGGGGGATATGAGGTTCAAGTGGGGCTTTGGGGTTGACCGAATATTAGGGAGTTTGTGCAGGGAGACCCAGGTGTTGCTTACTTAGGTTGATGACAGGGCTCGGCAGCCTAGTTCTTTGATCCCACTTGACTGGGGTGTGAGAACTATGAAATCAGACCTAGAACTGAGGTCCCAGAATGCCCACTCCCAGCGAACTTTTGAGCCTTCATTAGGATATAGTTTTGCGGCCATTCACCTTGAACCCAAGCCCCAACAAAAGTGATTTTAAGTTACCCGATAATTAGCTACCGTTTGACCTTGAGAGGATTGAGTTTAAGAAACTTGACTCTCGGGGGGTTGGGCTCTTGGTGTGAGTGGAAAACCCTAGTAACACCACCGGTATTTATAACCCCCACTAGGGTCAGACTTCGAAAAGCCTCTACTGGGCTTTCAGAGATGATACTGGTACATACTCTTTGAGATATTACTAAAAAACCTCTATGCGCGAGAGGGCGATTTCTCGGAATCCGCTATACTACGCATTAAGCCGGGTGATACCCCCAGGGGAACAGCTTGTGGGACACAAACTGCTCAAGTAACTTGCATTTAGGTAGAGCGCAGCGCTCTACTCGTACCTGTGGTGTTATCGGCCAAATTGCGCAGAACAGGAGCTGGACGCCGAGCCATACCTCTTGGGGAGGAATATTAACACCTTTCTCCTTATGTCATACCCTCGCATGTGGGGATATTCTGTTATTCAATCGTCGTTTCGTTGTTCCAAGGCACAAGTGCCAGAGGGTATTATTTTTTTTTCTCAAGGGTGAGGACCGCAGGGATGTCGAAGACATAAATTAAATATTGACTCCACCAGTACCCTACCGTACTCTGCCAGAGCCTCAAATCTTGGGGAAAAATAGCAGCACATTCTTGATCCGTTACAATGTGAAGAGGGTTGCTTGGTGAAAACTTGATTGTGACCATAACATGCATCCTTTAACATCCACTCTATAAGTTAGGACTGGGGTTTACCAAGAGTCCGTGAATACAATACACCCAAAAGGTGAGTTCCCACAAGCGGTTCATGATGCAACATTCCCGATAGGATATCCCACCAGAAAAGTAGAATTCCGCCCCACCTCAGTCCCCAAGTGTTGGCGAGTGGTATTTGGTGTCAGCGGGGGGGAGCACCTCTGAGGATGTGTATTGTATATGATAGTACGATTAGGGGTAAAAAAAACCGGCTCCTCCCCCAGAGCCCTTCCTCCATGTGTAGAACTACGAGCGCCCGCGTTGTGATACGGCTTCACAGATTCCTCCTCATTAGGGGGATTTCGTGAACCAGGCTTCGGGATCGCGATTGTTGTGACAGGCTGGTTTCTGGTAACAACAAGCGGATTGGAAAAAATAGGATTTCGTAGATCTATGATAAGTGGGGATAACCATTTGTCAGCTAGTGTATTTTTTTAGCTTGGGTGTATGAGTACATGTGATTTAAAGTATTTTTTTTTTAATTTTTCATCAAAAAGCCGTGAGAATCATCAATTCCGTACCACCAAAACCTACCAGAACGTTACTCCGATGGCATCTTCAATATCGCTGGCAACTACGACACCACCAATAACCCATCGGTGTGTCTATATATCGGCAGAAAACAAGCTTATACTTGTCAAACTTTGCGTTGAAAATCAGGGAGATTTTGTTCAAGGAAAAAAGACACAATTTTGGGCAGCAATTTCACAACTCCTAATACAGGAAGCAAATATAGGTTTGAAAGATCCAGCAGGTAAGAGAGTTACTAATATGAGAGAGCAGACTAAAGAGTTCTAATAGATGAGAGTAGGAACAATGCGTGGTATTGTGGTCGCTCGACGGGCACAACAAAAAATCCAGGACCGAGAATCTGGAACCGTACAGGAGGATACTGAGTTTACAAAGGCAGTTGATAAGTGGATTGAGGTCGAGGATCATCGAGAACGTGAGCGTGATAGAATTAGAACAACACAAACACAGGTGGAAAAGGAGCAGTCAGAAGCAGCAAGACATCGGTTCAATCTCTTACGAAGCGCACATAAGAAACGGTACTACTCCGATTCTGATGAAGAAAGATCGAGTGTGGAGAATAATAGTACTGAAGAATCTGAAAAAGGTGATCATTCCTATCAGGAAGTTAAATAAATATCAAGCTAAAAAAATTGTAGTTCAAGACCTAGATGCTATAGGAGGAAACATAGCAGCACCGGGCATGAACCCAAGCAGAGACCAAGAGGAATCAAGAGATGATAGTCAAAGTGGTAAGAGATTGTTTACCAACAATGAAGCTATCTATATCTCAGACTAAGAAGAAGTATTTTAAAAAATAGTATTAGCGGAGCGGAATGAAGATACAGTATGGCGGATTGGCCATCTTCGAAAAAAGACTCGGAAGCACCAAATAAAAGAGATGGATCGAAATTCAAAGAATATTGAAAAAATGAGCGAGACAGTGTATGGACTGAGTGACTCGGTTCGAATGGTAGCACAAAATATCAGATAAGAAGGAGAGTTGGAGGGAAGGATGGAGGATCGTTTGCAAAATCTGGAACAACAAAGAATACTGGATATGGAGGAGCGCAAAGAGCTACGGGTCCAGCAGGAGCATGGAAACAGAATGTTGGAAGCAATAATAAAGAAACTATATGAGGGAGATACAAATTTCCGTGCAGGATGTTCAAGTCAAAGTCACTAGTTTATGGCTTTATAGTATGAAATCCTACAAACACTCACAGAAAGTACTTATAGACTTCCTTAGATCTTAGTAGACCTAGTCCGGCTTCAGTAGATCCCCTTAGGCCTTGTTGAACCCCCACAGGTCTCTGTAGCTCCCCTTAGATATCACCAGACCCCCTTAGGCCTCAGTGGACCTCCTCAGACCTTGGTCGACTCCCTCATGCTTCAGTAGATTCCCTCAGGCCTCAGTAGACTCCCGCTGGCCTGAGTAGACTCTCTCTAGTCCAGTGTTTCCAACCATCCCGGGCATGATAGGCCAGGACAGCAGAGCATGGCATCCATCTTTAATGAAGACTGCCATCTGAGGGGTTGACATACGGGCCCGGGGGTCTTAATACAAAGGGTATCTTCTGGCCATCCTTACCAGGGCTCAGCTGCCATCTGTAGAGCCCGGCAATTTATTTGCAGGGTCTGGCCCGGTGTTCCCAACTATCCCAGGCACCCTATAGGACCCTAGCGGGCTTGCAGTCCTGAGCGTCCCAGGCATCTTGGGCAGGGTGAGTAAGGACGGCAGGGTATGGCGTCTGTCTTTAATAAAGACCACCGTCCGAGGGATTAATACCCAGGCCAGGGAGTCTTAATACAAATGGCATCTTCCGGCCGTCCTCACCGAGGACCGGCCATCATTCGCAGAGCCCAACCATCATTCGCAGGGCCCAGCCGGCCATTTAGGTAGTGGTTAGGACGGACCACAGGATAGGCTCTCAGTATTTATAGACTCGGAGGTCTCCTATTATTTCTTATTTTCTGTCCTACTAATACAGAAAACTTAGGAATAGTTTTATAATACAGAAAGAGTAAGATATTGCTGTAAGGAAGGAGGATTGCAATAGAAGCACATACAGGTTTTATTCCTGTAAATACAGGAGTGAATATTAGACAATAAGACTCCAACCATAAAGTATCCAGCAACAGGAGACAGTCCACTTCGTAGACCAGCCTTATAGCCATTAAATCCCCAAAGATTCATAGTTTTTGCAAATCTAGGCTTAACACTAACACAAATACTTGACATATGTGCATTTACTGCCTTCAAAACAGGAGAAAGAGGGCATCCAACTGAAGCTTTATACCCACTAATAACTCCATATGATAGTGCATATGCTGGATCGCCATATAAATACAGCCTGTCTTCAGCTCTCCATCCCTCATTAACTGCTCTGAGATGTTGTTCAAGTCCTGATTCTAAATACATTCCCCAATCTCCCTCCCGACCGGGCCATGGGCCAGTAAGTGAAGATAGTATACCATCTGGAGTCATTACTGCTTGAAACTTATATGAGTGACACTTTTTATAACCAGAATAATACCTTCTCTAAAACTTAACTGGTCGACATATTGCCCGCATGGTTCCATCAATAAATCCCCAGACACTGCTAACTCCACCTTTTTTTTCAACTATTTTCGCATAGCTTTCAATTTTCTCCACAGTCAATCGCTGGGGATCCCATTCTAAGTGTTGCCCATATCGATCAATAAGATATTCGACAACATCATTGAAGACTGATGAAAGCCATGATCATGAATGTCCAAATAGCTTCATATCCTCCTTCAATCGATTTGGAGCTGCAAGCCGAAACAACAAAAGACAAAGAGCCTTGTCTTGGGGACATTTATAAGCGTTTCAATAACGGATATTGGAAAGCTAAAAGTACGGTAACAGCGATTGAATAACTAGCGGAGAAAACCTATTTTAAGAAACTATTAGTATTAATATTTTAAGATACTACTATCAGAATAATTTTATATTTAATCTTTTAGATAAATTGTGCTTGAACATACCGAAAAAACTCAATACACCATGTTTCAGAGAAACTTTGTAGATTGAAA